AAAATAAGTTAATACCTCAATGGGCTTTGCCCTGGTAGGAGGGGGAATCGTTGAGTTGTACTCGTATGTTCTTGGGTGATTTGTTTAGCTTTTTTGTACTTTGCATCCCATCGTGTTTTTGTAAGGTTTGTTGTTGTAACGTTCTGACCCGCCCCTACTGAAAATCTGTGAGAGAAGAGCTTTATAGCTCATCGGATTCCTCCTGCAGGAAAATAAATACTCTGATTCAGAATGTTTCGCTGCTGCCAGATGCCTCTTTGGAGCCCACGTATGGACAGGGCCTGTGCCCTCACGCTATGGGGACCCCGTTTGCGCCTTGCCTGGAGGCAACGACAAGACATCTAATCTGTACGTGACGAGAAACCCATGACAAGAGAAAAGATTGTTGCTTTTCTTGGCGGAGCGTCTTTTCACACCAATTAGCAACGACAAAAATAACCGCGCTCTCTTTCCTGAAAGCACCGCAACACGTTGACATTGCGCGGATGTTTGACCGCCTCTCCAGTCCATGACCGCACGGTAATTCGGGATTCACCACCCAGACCAGGCAATCTGCACGGCACGCAGCGCTAATGAACGGTCACACAAACGCTGTTCCCGTGTGCAATCAATCACTCGACATGGGTGAAAATATGAGCACAATAAAAAACACACTCGTGCTCGTACTGTACCATCATCAGTGAACTACTCCGCGAGACGCAATGTAAAATGAAAACTGTTTGGACAGCTGACGTACTATATCTATATACTGTACTGTATACATACAATTTACAAGTGTCCGTCCGTCACGCTCTGTATCTCCCACGCGTTACATCGGAGGAACAAATTAAGGTGACCAGACGTTTAAACTGGACATCTGTGAAAAAGAGCTTCATAGCTCATCAGACTTCTCCAGGATAAATAAAGATACTGGTTCCGATTCTCTTGGCCGTGGACTGTCCCCGGGAAATGTTCGCCTTTCTGAATTTACAACATTTTGACCACCGTGCAATTTCGAGAGAAAAAAAAACACGCCAGAACATCCAACAGCCGACGGTTTGTACGTGCCGACATCATCGGAACGCGCATTGCTCGAACAGTATGCAGTGATAATTGTGTGCTTGAGCGTACAGGAATCATAAAACGAATTTACTGATTATCCAGGAGAGCCACAGCGAGTCGTAGCACCCGTTTTCAGGAGGGTCCTGCATTGGTTTATTTTTAAGATGTTTTCAGCCAATTAATGAGCACTTATACGTGTGGGAGGAAACCGGAGCGCTCGGAGGAAACGCTCCATCCCTGTACAGATGGAAACAGATGGTGATTAGTTCACTTGCTGTACTGCCTTCTCCTGGCGAGCGAGGGAATGCGCTTTTATTTTAACAAGTAAGGCCCACGGAGCTACACAGCTCTTTTTCAGAAGCGACCTGGATACAAATGATAGCTCAACGAAGTGGCTTATTGTGGAGAAATGTATAGCAGCCAAATACTCTAAACGCAAGTTGATTCTAAATATGGAGAGAAAAACCAGAGGACCCGGAGAAAAATCCAAGCAACCATGGGGAGAAAAACAAACTCCAAATATACAGGTGTCGGGGTCGGGATCAAACCCGTGACTTCCTGTATACCACGCAAAGTAGTCAACATCTCACCACTGTGGGTATGATACCTCGACGCCAACGGGAAGGGAGTGTCACAACATGTGTGTCATCCACCAAGCCTCGCTGCTGCCTCCACAGCGCTGGATTACAGGCAACGTGCATACCCACCACCGCCCAGCTCTGAAGTAGCAGGTGAGCAAGTGCCATTTGGAAACGAATAGCTCCTCCAATTTCAGATTCCTGTGTAGCATGTCGTATGAAATATGTCACCGTGCAGTGTGTAACGGATGGCAGCTTGAACGGTCGAAATAAAGTCGAGCACCTTGAGACCCCACAATGTCATTCACTGCAGAGCGACGCTAGTTTCTGAACTGCGTGGAACATTCTATGATCATCAACAAAGCACAGGTTCAGAGATATTCAAGAGCACTGGGGTTCCACGTGCCAAAACCTGATTTCACGAACGTCAACTGCACCGTCGCATTCGCGAGAGTTGAAAGACGACAGGATGTCACAGAGTCAACATCCTGAACACCAAAGGTCAAGGGTCATCGAGGAGTATTTACCTCCAATGTTGTCTATCCACAAGTCTTAAACATTACTTCAAAGCATACGGGTGTGTAGACGCTCACAACGATTTAGGGAAATTTCAGGGGATCCACGTAAAATCACGTGAATTTTGCTTCGGTTATATCCCACACACACGCACGGGGGGGGGGGGGGGCAGTGCTCGTACCAAGCCGTTTCCATGACCGTTGGCAAGTGGCCCCCCCTGGGCTGTTCCAGTATCAACAGCGTGGGGCACAGGTCCAGGTCCCTTACACTCCATGAGCCACGAGGCCTCGGCCCCTCCCCCTCCATCCCCCCCCGCCGCCCCTCATTTCTACCACCCAGGGCCAGAGAGAAGCAATTAAAACAAGATTAACATAGATTTGAGTGAGCTAAGGCTACGCTAATACATTTACCGTTCTTGTAAAAACTAAATTCCACTGTGTTTTTCCCCAAAACAAAAAAACGCGGCTTTGAAGTTGAACTAAGCGAGGGGCATCTTCGACCACTCGTCTCGTTTCCATGGTGACCTTGTGACATCATCGCTGGTTGCCAGGGCGGCCCAGGTGGACGCGTGCGGGCCTGGACCCTGAGGCCCCGTGGGACCGGGTCTCATCGCTCAGCAACTTATGTTGCCGGCAATGGTCGCCCTAAACTTGCGCCAGTGGATCACAGCCCGGTTTAGGAGTTGGCTTTAGGGTTAGAGAAATGGCGAGGGTTTTGCGGTTAGGGTTTAGGGGTTGGCTTTATGGAGAGAGTTATGGTGAGGGTTGAGGGGTTAGGGTTTAGGGATAGAGTTATAATGAGAGTTTAGGGGTTAGGGTTTAGGGGTTGGCTTCATGGAGAGAGTTATGGTGAGCGTTGAGGGGTTAGGGTTTAGGGATAGGGTTATAATGAGAGTTTAGGGTTTAGGGAGAGAGTTATAATGATAGTTTAGGGGTTAGGGTTTAGCAGTTGGAATTAGAGGATCGAGTGGCGGTTAGGGGATTTGGATCAGGGGTTGGAATTTAGGGTTAGAGTTTAGGGATATGGCTTATGATTGGAGTCAGGGGTTGGGTTTAGGATGAAGGATTTGGGGTTCTGGTTAGGATATATGGTTTGGGTAAGGGTTTATGATCAGGGTTGGGGTTTCGGATAGCAGGACCTAGGCCTACTCTTCTTGCCACGCTTCTGCAGAAACAGTAACCCTGTCCCGGCTATATAATTGACAGGGAATGAGGCTCAGCCATGCAAACCGCCTGGGATCAGCAACACAATTGCTTTGAATGCCCCTCGCAGGAAAACACGTCATAGGGGTACAAGATGAACGAAATTTATAACAGCTGACGCACGCCTGCAAATGCGTTTTGTAAATACAAAGGTGACACAAAATACACAGATCCTTCGTATAGCCTTAACAGACTATTGGGGCAAGTGCTGTGAGCAAGCACCTCAAGATGCCACTAGCACACGAGGCACACACACAAACAGTACCGTACAGAGTGGGTGGGAAGTCTCCATACCAATGCGATCCATTGGACTCAGAGGTAAAAGCGTACAGGGACTGCTCGCCCCCACTCTGTTTGCCAGAGAACCCCCCCCCCCCCCGTGTCCAAGAGGGACCTGGGTTACAGAGTCAAAGACAGGACGAGCGCAGAACACTGTGCGTAACGTTACGGTGTGTGTGTGTGAATTATGTGTGTGCTGTTGTGTGTACTGTTGTGCGTGTTATGGGGAGTGGTAGTGTAGCGGTTAGCGCTGCACTATGAACCCGGTGTCCCGAGTTCGATTCCCACTCACAGTTAACACCAGCGACGATTTTCTCAACCGGTCCTGGGCCTCCCCTAGGTCGACTCAGCCTCAAATTAGCACCTGGTGCGGTGTGTAAACATTGCCACTGGGGATACAAAGGCGGTCGGGTGTGGTCCTGGCCACCCACCCCCTCGTGTGCAGTGCCGGCCTTCATAGGTGCTACTCGCTATCAGCAATTGCCCAACAATCTGTTAAGGCAATACGGGGGATTCTTTGTTTTGTGTGTGTTATGGTCCAGACATAAGCCACACATGCATGCACGCACGAATGCGGGCATTTGCATACCCAGGCAGTCGAGGTACTCACACCAACGTGCAGAGCCCACATAACCGTCCAGGAATTATCTACCATCGAGTACAGAAGTGCATAGGCATTCCGTTACTGCAGTACATACGCATCGATACAAGGCTTGCATTCAAACGTTTACAAAGACAACAAGGACCTCCCGTACAGCCGTGAACAGGCTGTTGAGGCAAGTGTGGCTAGATATAGCCATACATACATCATTGCAAACAGCGCACACCACCGTTTCACCTAATTTGTATATCACAGTACCAGGCATGCACGCACACACACGATGCATTCATAATTTGTATTGTTTGGATAGGCGGACAGATGCATATGAAGGTACACACACAACAGGCAATCCTGCTGCTGTATTGTGCAGAGCAAAGACAAAGATCCCCCATATAGCTCTAACACACTGTTAGGGCAAGCGCTGTTAGCGAGCACCTATGCAGGCCGGCCCGGCACACGAGAGGGTGGGTGGCTAGCACCACCCCCGGCCGTCTTTGTCTCCCTCGTGACGATATTTACCCATCACACCAGGTACTCATTTGAGGCCGAGTAGACCTAGTGGGAAGCCCAGGCCCGGTTCAGACAACAGTCACTTGGTGTTGGCCGTGAGCGGGAATCAAACTCGAGTCGCTGGGCTTGTAGCGCAGCGCAGGCAACACAAACAGGACCACAACACAACGAACAGCAGTCATCAACCCACCACACAATCACACACATACCAGTGGATGCTATTGTTTACAGCCACTGCCATTGTCGAACCGGGAATAATAAAATGACACCCACCTCCGCTCCCCCTCCTCCGCTGTCGATTCCTCCTCGGCTGGATGTGAATGCTGTAGACGGAGAGGATGAAGAGAGAGTGCCGTGGGCTGCCTTGCACGTCCCACCGTGTCACGCACACGGCTCAGCCGCAGCCGCAGGGAGGAGGATGATGGTGATGATGATGGTGAGGATGGTGATGATGATGGTGAGGATGGTGAGGATGATGATGAGGATGTTTGCTACACGCAGGGGCTCCTCCGCACAGCACGGGTCACCATGTCCGCCAGCCCCACATCCTCTCCCTCCCCACCTCCATGTGCAATGCAACAGCAGCAATAACAATGATGCCGAGGACGTAACCACGAGTTCACGTGTGTTGTAGGTGAACTAACGCGCGGCCTGCCTGCTTTGGCGTTACCATAGCCCAAAACGCAGCAATGACTCGGCTGCCATGTCTGCTGTTGCCCGTTGCGTCCATCTACACGAAATCGCGCGTTCTCTCTCTCGCCACATCACAAGCAGCAGCAGCAGCAGCGCTGCCACATCCCCATTTCACGTTGTTAGCAGGAGCAGCCTCCTTCTCTCCCACCAGCTCCGCTGTCCGCACGGCCGCTTCGCGCCCTTCAGATTCCGTTGCCTTTGTCGTCACCGTCGATGCTTAACGCGGAGCGCTCGTGGCTGAGCAGAGGGATGCGGTCGAGCAGAAGCAGGCGGAGGAGGAGGGAGACATCGCCATCAGCGAGCCGGGGAGGATCTGCAGACTGCGCTGAGCCGAGCATTATGATGTCACCGCGCTCATTGAGCCGCACCGAGGCACCACCACCATCGTGATCATCAGCAAGCCATGATCAATCCGCTGCTGGATGAAGGCCTCCTCGCTCCGAACGCCTCTGACCGTGCGGCAATGGAATGCACCACTTAGCACCTACACACGGATCGATTTCACTGCTCCATCTCCCTGCTTTACGTCCTCTCGGACGCGTTCCATCCCTTGGCTGCCACTTATCACGCGCAGACGTCGAGTTGTGTGACGCATATCCACGTGTCAAACTCCCGACAATGTATATCAATAAAGTCGCAATCCACCGATGGACGAGGGCCTCGCTCTCGCCCCACCCAATGTCGGTCGTGTGGAGGTTTGTTCACCATACTTCAGCACCGCTGGTGAGTGCGGGGGTTGGTGAAGGTGGGGGATGGACCGGTCCTGACATCACTCGCCTCTCATATGTTAGCCCCGCCTGGGAATCGAGATCGGGTGGCTCGGTTCGCAGCACGGTGCGCTAACCAATGCACCACCGCTCTACTCCGTGTAACATTTATAACATTGCACGATTATCCAGGGGTGACCCATTGATTCTCAAGACATTTTTTTTCAGAAGGGTCTTGCCACATTGGGATGCTTGCTTCGCCATTCCCATGAATGAGAGTTTGGCTTCCTGCCGGAGGCAACTTCTTTCGTACCGTACGTAGCCAACCGTGCTAATCGGAGGCGCGGGGGAAGGACTACACACAAAAAGCAGTTATAAAGAAATTAGTCTTCAATCTAGAATACTTAAAAGTGCACAGCTCTCAGTGGCTTCCTGATATCGGAAGTGTTCCAGACGCCGCAGAAGCGCATCTGAAAGTACGCGATGCGATGACACCGTCTTTGTTCGATGGTTAGCCAAAAGTGTAGTGTATAGAAGTGTAGTAGTGCAGATTAGTGTAGTGTATATCCTAGTGTAGAGTACAATGTAGTGTGTAGAGGAGATCTAGATGATTTAAAAGTGCATAGCTCCCAGTAGCTCCCTAATATCAGAAGAGCATTCCAGACGGAGATGAGGGGGTCACGCGAATGACCCAATCCACTTGCTGTGCTACCATCTCCTGGCAGCACAGCTGGGTAGGGAGCTCCACAAATTTCTACGTGAGCCACCAAAAACCCCTCGCCTCCGAAGTGCTGGATCACACACGGGGTACCCGAATGTCTCAACTATTGCCAAGTTTTATAAACGGGTGAAGATCCGCGACTCTTAAGAGGCTGCGTGGGGTGGTTCATTCAGGGTGCGCTTCCAAGAGCCGAGAGCAGCTGACGCGTGAACGAGACCGCCACTGCCACTTGCCGCCTGACAGTGCATGGCGCGCGTCACGTTTGGCACATTTGCACCGATGCAAAGGCGTCAAGCCGGACCGGTGGCGCTGTGATGCAAGGTTGGCCCGGGCTCGCGAGCAGATGGCCACATTTGTATAACGGCACAATTCAGCACTTGGAGCAAAGCTCTCAACCAGCATCCCATCGGTGGGAGGTCGCTGCTTCCCTACTGCTGCCACCGTCTCTAACCTCCCCCCCAATCCGTCCGTGCTGCCGATTCCCTGCCCCTATTAAAAGTCCAAGATTAAATATCTTCCTTTTCTCCGCTGCCTACGACTGATAAATATGAACGACTCCCCTTTCGTCCCCGTTTAGCACACGTTACGCATCTTGTACATCACTACTTCTCGGCCCTCTTTGTATTCCACGACTCTCGCTTGTCGAGTTTGCTCGGTCCTCACTGTGGGTCCGGATGGGTCGAGAGCAGGGGTCAGAAAGCAGCGGCTCTACGGCGACTCTTTGGCTGCCCCTTGCAGGCATCCGTTTAAAAAAAGAATAATTTAACGTAAATATAATTGTTTAAATATGACAGGGAATGGGTCACTATGTAATGTCTTAGTGACAACAAAATGTAGAACTGTGTCGTTAAAGAATAACGAAGGGGGGGACAAACTAAATAGACGCAGTTTATTCCATCACGTGTTGTCTCCTGTATACCCGCGTGTGGTGGGGCACTCAGAACAATTTTGGTCAAAGGCAAAAACAAAACGCCTCCTCTTCATCTTTGAAAAGTTGCCGATCCCTGCTCTCGAAGCTGCGTTCCCAACTGCGTGTTTTAGTAGTTTTTTTTGGTGATTTTCTTTTAACCTATCTACGTGCCTTTACCGAAAGACCCAAAGAATATGCGCAAGCGTAACCGAGAGAGTTGAGAGGGTCGGGGGTGGGGGCTGACGGCTGTCTCCCGTTTGGCACCGCGACCACTGGGGTTGGGTGGTGGCGGTGGGATCGGCCACTGAACGGCACGGAGGAGAGTTCGTCCGTCCCAGCTTGCAGACATTGAGGTTCTTTCCTCCAATTACAAAAATACCGCAGCGCACCTGCTGGAAATTTTCCGCAGAACATCAGTTGTGCAGCACTTTTGTACAAAACCTTGGGATGCAGTTACATTTCGTGCTAAATTAAAATATTGTATATATTTTTTCTTGAACCAATGTAAGGTTGACATAAAAATTATATATTAAGCACGATTTATGTCTGGTTGAAGCCTTTATGCAACCATTGCCAGATACTGCATTAGCTTACCCCTCTTCTAAATGGTAGGCTCCTGAAAGATAACAGCAGACCCCTCTTCTTAATGGCACAATCCAATTGTGAACACCGGTCGTTTAAAATGGAGCGTCTCATTGTATTCGTGATGTTAGGTGTTAATAACTGAAACAATGTGTGCAAGTTATGAAGACGTCGGTGATGGTTTGTTTTTTTATTTATTCAAATATAAAAATTCTAAACGGTATTCCAGGTGAACACGATGCTGCTTTGACTTTTTCACTGGTTTTTGCACACATGTAAAATTCTAATGACACGGCACTGTTGCTCCAACACCTGCGCTTGTAGCCAATTTACCACAGCTGTAGAATATTTTCACGTTGAAATGATCACGTCCAAAGGCAGTGCGTAAAATCTTCCATGGCACATCTCACAAGGATCCCGAACGCAATGACAGGCGAAGCCTTCGCCACGAACCTACAGCGACCATCGCTGGGCTCCTGTGAGATAAAGAACTGAACGAACACATCAACTCACTTCAGTTTCCCACGAGACCGCTTAAAACAAATCACTGATGTGGCCTGCAAAACTGAGCGAATGAACCCCAGCTTCCAGACGTTCTCACACGGGGGAGGGGGGGGGGGGTTGCAAGCCAGCTCTGCGTTGGCCCTCTTCGGCGGGCCGAGTGGGGGCTTGCTTTTCAAAAAGGGAGTGGGGGGAGGGTTTGCACACTTTCGCTCGGGCTGCCTTCAGAAACGGTCGTGACGTCGCGGCCAAAAAGGAAGACACGCACGCCGTCGATATCGTCCCTCGATTAAAATATCAACAACAGATTTAGCAGGGGACTAGCATATGCTAAGCCAAGCTGCTTTTTGTGTTTAGTTTGTCGTCCTTCCCCCGCACCTTCGATTAGCACGGTTGGCTACGTGCGGTGCGAAATAAGTCCAACATATATACGAGCGTACATTAAATTAAAACAAATTTATTGCTCCCCTACAGATATTTTTTTTTATTTGACCAGCTGAGGCTCACTGAGCTTCAGAGCTCTTTTTCAGAAGCGACCTAGCCACAAACGACAGCTCAACAAAGTGGCTTATGTGTAAATGTATAGCAGTAGCCAAATACTCTAAACACGTTGATTCTAAATGTGGGGCAAAAAAACAGAGGACCCAGAGAAAAATACACGAAGAGATAACATACAGACTCCAAATAAACAGCAGGCGTCACAGGGTCGGGATGGAAGCCACGATCTCCTATTTACCAGGCGAGGTAGTTACATCTCGCCAGCATGGGGGAGGTGGAGGCAGGACCTCTCGGGGACTACCAGGCCGCACAGAGCTCCGGCTACCTCTGGCCAACTCCTTGGCCGGTCACAGCTGTGGAGATGATGAGGGGAGGGCCACGGAGGGGGGCGGCACAATCTCCACGATCAGCCTGGGATCAATCAGCGACGTCCACTTAATGGTAATCTGTGGAAAAAAAATTGTTCTATTACGGTACAAAAAACTCAGGTAGTATCTCTCCACTTTCAAGCAAGCATCGGGACAGCATTCATCGTCGTTGTAAACCCAAAACCAACAGTGGAAATGACACAATTCTATGGTGGGGCAAGTCTTTCCGAAGGACACAGTACAATAATTCAAGAATGCCGCTTATATACATAATACAGGGAGATTTAACACGTAGGCTTTCGCGACCAATATCATCCATAATCGAGGTTTTTGGGTTAGATCGCGTAAATATATCAATGTCGTTAAAACCCGTCACAGCCAACTAGTAAGGGTTGTCACGTAAACAGAACATGCCAACTCGTCACTAGTGTACAGCACACCGGTGTGTTGGAGAGCCAAGCCACAACATTTACAAACTGAGTAAGAAACAGTTTGTAAATATTCTGGCTTGACTCTACAACACACCGGTGTGCTGTACTAGTGACGAATTGGCCACGTTCTGTTTACGTGACAACCCTTACTAGTTGACTGCGTCGGGTGGTGGCGGCTTGTAACGACATACATTTACACGATCTAATCCAAAAACCTCTATTATGAATACAGGGAGAGTTGCTGAGCAAGTGTTTTTCACATTGTGGTATGAACCTGGCGAACCAAGTTGAATTCTCGTCACGACTAACATCAGTGGTGAATGATATCTGTACCGGTCCTAGGTACCTCCCCCCCACCTCTTCACCAACCGGCATTGATCAGCACGGTGAAGTATGGCCAAACAAAACGCATGACCAACACTGCAGATTGGAGGTCTTCATCGAACCGTGAATTGATAAGAGGATGGTTAATTATATTACGCGTAAAACATCAACCCATTTACAGCTGGTGGGGAAGAGGGACACCACAATTTCAACGTGACACTGCATTCACATTGCAATGTTTTTGTGAAACCCAAATTTTGCAGTGGCCAAGTTTTTGATGTAAAAATTCCCGCTTTCTTCCAACAATTTCCCCATTCTCTTTACCGCCGTCGTCATCTTTGTGAGGCTGTACTGGACATCTATGAAAAATAACTGTATATCTCATCGGATTCCTCCAGTATAAATAAATATTCTGAGTGGAATGCGCTTCTCACTCTTGTTTCCTGCATGAGGCAGGGTGCATCCTCCGCCCTTGGAGAGTTGCCCTCGGCATCGCTCTCATACACCAACTCGAATTTTCCACCCATCCGCTTGCCTGGAAATTCATACGGTAAAAACAAAACATGGGACCATCTTTGTAAAACTGTAGTGCCTGACTCAGAGACACTAAGGGTATGAGGCACTCTGTTTATGAACACGGCCTAAGAGTTCACACTTGGTAACTACGGTGCCCAGTCAGGACAGCTGGTAGACTGCCTGACTGGCGACGCCGAGACGGTGAAGGCTCCAGCAGCAGCGCGACGGGGATCCCACTCCACACGACGACAGCCCCGAGGTCCCCTCCCGGGGCTCCGCCCCCGGCCACGCCCCCTTCTGGAACCTACTAGCGGGCTCTGGATGTGCGCCTTCCGTAACCTTTCCCCTAGATCCCTCTCTGGTCTATCACGTGGCCTGCTGTCAGTCAGGGCTGCTGTAAGCTGCAGATCCCCTTCCCCGCCAGCAGCCAGCGCTATGCTGCTACGTGACCGGTTCTATGTCACTACAAAGTACCAAACCACTTTGTTTGAGCGTCGCAGTGGCGAGATGTTAACTACCTCGCCTGTTATACAGCAGGTCGTGAGTTCAATCCCGACCCTGACACCTGCTGTATATTTGTAGTTTGTATGTTCTCCCCAGTTGAGTCATTAAGAGAATGCCACTGCATGCGAGTTACCATCTGGCTACACCGGGAGGCACGAAGAGATGCCGATCAGGTGTGTCTCACCTGGAAAATCGGTGTTAATATTTGTGGAGGGAGGGGGGAGGATAAGGGATTTAAATCGTTAACCTGAGAAACAAAAGTAGTACAAGGATGAGCCCTTGTATATGTGGCCACCTTCCCATATCATTGTGGAGAGATGGCAATGCCATAGCTGCTGGAATACCATTATATTTATAGCGAGCTTATTTTAGAATTTACTCTTTGCATTGTGCACATATACAATTTGCATCTCTAACGTTTTGAACCAAATAAATTCCGACAGAAACTGTCAGTATACCACGCCGATACGACCCTCGGCCTTCTCTCTGCTCTGCAGAGGTGCCACTGCACGCAATGTTCGGCGTGCGAGTTTTTTCCAGCGAAATCGCCACATCCGTTGCCGAGGTGGCGAGACGGTGGCGATGGCATCTCCTCACGTAGCGGAGCGCTGGCCTTACCTGTCGATGGGTCCGACTTGACCATAATCTCCAATTCGCGGGAGATGGGGTCGAACCTCAGCACCTCTCCCTCCTGCGTGGGGCATAAAACGTGACGTGAAAATAGACACAACGCGGTCGCCGCGACGTGGAAATTAAAACGAATGGCGGCGGCGGTGGCGTCACAGCAACACCAAACCCCTCTGCTCAAAGAGGCCTCATCCCATGGAGTTTCAAGACGGCTCCTTACGAGGGGTCCCCGTTTCAAATATTTCGGTCCGTTCTGTTCTATATTTTTTTTGCTTTTGCATGTAGGTGAATGCTGGCGTAGACAAATTAAACGCACGTCTATGACTTTGACGGTTTATTTTTGAAAAGCACGCACAGAAGCGAACCTACTTGATGTGTTGCTTTCTACAGACAACTTTAAAGTAAACTCAACTCGTGTATATGAATGCATATCCCATATTGTACACGCAGAAGCAACCTACTTGCCTACTGATTTGCACAGACCACTTTAAAGGTACAATCAATCCCACCTAAAGTCACCACCACCTGCACATTCACACACTGTGGACTGCACTGGCAGGGGGTCCCATGATATCGCCAGGCTCCGTGATAACACCATGATAACGTGGAGTGGAACTCACTTTGTAGTCAGAGACTTCCGGGGAGTAATTCTCATTCATTTCCAACATCTAGAAGAGAATACAAAGTTTAAAAAAAAAACATCACAGGAATGTATCGGCTTCAACATTCACGACATTTTCATTTCAATTGATGTCCCGCTCTTTTGTACTGCGTCTTTATTTGCAGTTGCACTTAATCATAATACTAATTATATATTTGTAAATAATGCGCAGTATATGGAAAGCAGGAAATTAACAGAACCTGCAGGGTGAATGGGCAGAACAAGGGGGTAAAAGACCAGTTTAAAGAGGCCAGTTTTCAAGACAGACTTAAACATATCGCAAAGGCAAAAGCGTTCCAAAGCCTGGGAGCTGCACTGGCAAAATCCCGATCACCCCAGAGACAGAGCCTTAACCTTAGAAAAAGGCAATGCGAAGATCTCAGGCACATCACTGATGTATAAAGATGGATCAGTTGCTGTAAATATTATGGGGCAAACCCATTGAGTGCCTTGTATGTCAGCAGCATGATCTTACAGTCCACTCGATACTTGACTGCTAGCCAATGCACAGACAAGAGAGCAGGTGTGTGATGATTTGCTCGCGAAACGGTGTGCGCGTACGGACTCTAGCAGCTGCGTTCTGAACGAGCTGGAGTCTACCCGCCACCTAATTCGGAATCTCGAACAGTAACGCGTTGCAATTATCCAGTTGGGCGAACACAACAGTACGAACGAGACTTTTCCAAACCATTCGGTGACAGGAATCGGCACAGCGTGGGAAATATTTCTAAGGTGGAAGAACAAAGTTCTAACCAGCCGAGGTACACCTGCCTCAAAGGACGGTGTCCGGTCAAACCGAACACCAAGATTTCTGACCTCCTGTGGTGGGCAGACATCGTTACCATCTATTGACGGACGTGGCGAACCGATTTTTAGATAAGTGTAGAACGGAGCCAATGAATACTTCCACAAATTTTATTGCGGTGTGTATTACATACAGTAAAACCTCGTAATTTCGGTATTTGATCATTCATAATTTGGGATAATACGGCACGGCTGCTCTTTCGGCATATATACAGTATGAGTAATTCGCCATGAGACAAATTGCCGTACCGAATGGTCCAATGTCAGCATACACGTGGAGTGACACCGTGCACCACGACCAAAACAACGACTCAGTCTGGTGGCGGCCCACGTGGTGAGCGTTAGCGCAGACCCATCGCTTCGGTCATCTACACCGACATCAATTCATATTCTATGGTTCTTTCGGTAAAGTCACGCAGATAGAAAAAATAATAACAATAAAATAATAATAAATAAAGTGAATAAAAATATCACGACGTTTTGATCGCAACACAAGCGGTCGTCATCAGGAACAGGGAGGTTAGCCTCAGAGGGCAAGCTGTTTATAAAGGTTTAGAGATGGGCGGGGCAGCTAATGTTAATGTAGGAGAGGGCTCCGACACCGTCAGTAGGTCTACACCAATCAAAGCATTGCACCTCGCTCCACACACCCACACTGCTGGTGGTGGAGGTTGACAAGAAAACACAAATCAAGTCATGACCCAAAGTGGTTGATGACACAAATCAAGTCGTCTGGTACTTTGCAAGCCTACTGGCTATCAACAAAGATTCGTTCATGAAGCCATCCATGTGTAGTGTGGTAAAATACGTGGTGCGCACTGTTGGCCGAGGGCAACCGAGGGCAGGCAGGTGCGCGTGTGCAACGTGAGGTTGCACTAGCAAACCTCCACCTCATTAAGGGGAGAATCGGGGGCAGACAGGGTCGGCCCGGGGTCGCACGCTGACACCGGAGGTGTTGCCAGGGAGACGTGCGATAAGGAGTGATTGATGGCCTGACAGGCGCCAGCCTGCCTGGCCCTAAAGAGACACAAGGGAGGACCTGGATAATTGGGAGGAGGATATAAGGAGGCACGTGAGAGCGGAGCGGGAGTTCGGGTTGCTGGGGACCAAGGTGAAGACATCTCGCCGTTGCCGCTCAAGCCAGGGACGGACCTCAACCCTCACGAGTCACCGGGCGGATGGTTGATCCCCCCGCCAGGATCGGACGAGTGGGTCTGAGGGAACGGAGGCGTGGGCAGCGGCGCAGAGTGAGCGAAGCTGTCTGCGAGCCTCTGTGTGAGCGCAGCTGTGTGCAAACCTCTGTGTGAGCACAGCTGGATGCGAGCCTCTGTGTGAGCGCCGCTGTGTGCAAGCCTCTGTGTGAGCGCTGCTGTGTGGAAGCCTCTGTGTGAGCGCTGCGGTGTGGAAGCCTCTGTGTGAGCGCTGTTGTGTGCGAGCTCTGTGTGAGCGGTGCTGTGTGCGAGCCTCTGTGTGAGCGTTGCTGGGTGCAAGCTCTGTGTGAGCGTTGCTGGGTGCGAGCCTCTGTGTGAGCGCTGCTGTGCGAGCCTCTGTGTGAGTGCTGCTGTGTGCGAGTCTCTGTGTGAGTGCTGCTGGGTGCAAACCTCTGTGTGAGTGCTGCTGGGTGCAAGCTCTGTGTGAGTGTTGCTGTGTGCGAGCTCTGTGTGAGTGTTGCTGGGTGCGAGCCTCTGTGTGAGGGAAGCTGTGTGCAAGCCTCTGTGTGAGCGCAGCTCTGTGCAAGCCTCTGCGTTTGAGGGAAGCTGTGTTCAAGCCTCTATGTGAGCGTTGCTGGGTGCAAGCCTCTGTGTTTGAGTGAAGCTGTGTGCAAGCCTCTGTGTGAGCACAGCTGTGTGCAAGCCTCTGAGGGAAGCTGTGTGCGAGCTCCGTGTGAGCGCTGCTGAGTGCGGAGCTAACGAGAGCGGGAGCTGCCGGGTGCGGAGCCTCGAGTGCGGAGCTGATGAGAGAAATCACGACCTCCAAGACACTACACATATATACAGACACAGAGACAATTTCAACTGAGAGGAAGGATATAGACAGAGCAATCATTAGAAAGATGTCATCAACCACTTTGGGTCATGACTTGATTTGTGTTTTCTTGTCAACCTCCACCACCAGCAGTGTGGGTGTTTGAAGCGAGGTGCAATGCTTTAATTGGTGTAGCCCTACTGCCCGTGTCAGAGCCCTCTCCCATATTAACATTAGATGCCCCACCCTCTCCAAACCTTTATAAACAGCTCTTTGATTGGTGTAGACCTACTGCCGGTGTCGGAGCCCTCTCCTACATTAACATTAGCTGCCCCGCCCACCTCTAAACCTTTATAAACAGCTTGCCCTCTGAGGCTAACCTCCCTGTTCCTGATGACGACCGCTTGCGTTGCGATCGAAATGTCGTGATGTTTGTATTCACTTTATTTTTATTATTTTATTGTTATTATTTTTTCTACCTACGTGGCTTTACCGAAAGAACCATAGAATACGACATCAAGAAGTAATAGAAAGGGACTGAAGTATAAATGCATTAGTCTGCAAGACAAATCCAAAGTTTTTGATAGAATCGATGCAGGGTGTGTGTCAATGCGTATGGTGTGTGAATACACGTAAAAAAAACAACAACAAAAATTCACGACGTTTCGGCCACAACACAAGTGGCCTTCATCAGGTGAAGGGAGCAGACTGTCTAGAGGACAGCGCTGGAGTGAACACAGCCAAGCTCAGACCGAGACCTTTAAGCTGTGTGAGAGGAAGCAGAGCGCCTTGACAAAGGAATTAGCATAAAAATTAGCATTTAATTGGCGGACTTAGCATGATGAACGATGTATAGGGGGGGAGCAAGTGCAGACCGGCGAGGGGGGGGGGGGAGTTTACATATTGATGGTGTGAAAAGGGAATTTAAGCAGCTGCGAAAGTTTGGGATACCACTACTTGAAAAAATATACTGTACCATTGAAAATTAGTTTAATGTTTGGTTTGATTCAGAACATCTTTTCAAATTAAGAGTTTGGGAAAACGAATTTGGAAAAAAAAAGTATTATGGCAGGAGGCACTGGGGAGTACCATTGTACATAATTCGGAATATTGGATAATTCTGCAAGGCCAGCTCCCCATGTGTCAAATTAACAAGGGTTTACTGAAGTATATTTATTGCCATCACCTTGAAAGCGATGTGGTCCCCTGCCCGTGGAGGTCCATCCAAGGTAGGAAGTGCAGAGTAATTCCTCTTGACCACCTCCACGGCATTCTGAACGGTGCACACAGACCACACGGAGCTGACCGTGCTTGCGACGGCCCGAAGCACCTTGCTACCCGCTTTGACATGCAGCTCAAATACCTTTAGGTTATCTCCGAACAGGAGGACTCGGTCAATACGGACAACTGTGTGGACTTTAATATAGAATCTTTATATTTGAATTTGTAAACATGCTAGACTACTATTAAATTGCTATTTGTGAGTCTAACACCGCTTTGTGAGTCTAACACCAAAACAGGAGGAATTCTCCACAATTCTGTATGTCGCTTGACGAGGCTGATTGTAATTACCGGCAAAACATCACAGTACTCGAATTGTAAATGTCGTGGGTTGAACTCGTAACTAATGGGCATGTTTTGTTAACGTGACAAACGTTACTAATTGGCTGTGTCGGGTGGTGGCGGATTTAACGGCACATTTATATTTACACCACTGCTGCCTCTGGTTTCCGGTGGGCTAGGTCCCGAACCCATTACCACCACAACCCTTCCTTACCCATCCCCTCCGCATGATTACAAAATCCAGAGCTGTGCCAAAAATGGCCTTAAGTGTTACTTTAAGAGCTAAAGGAAACAGATCTGCTCATAACCAAAATATATTTTCAAGGCTGGCCTATCAAAATGTGAACAATTTATATACTTCACCAAAGAAAATCATACCAAGGCAGCAACAATTCAACTAATAGTATGTACAGCACGTTTTGCTTCATTGCAATTAAAGTGGGCAGCCTTGCACGACTGCCAAACTCCATAACTGGAAAAAATAAAGACCTCCATCATGAACACACTTTGCTGGGCAGAATGTATGCCTCAGCTTCCCTGTAACATCCTGGCAACAGGAACACCAAATCAGCACAAGCTTTCCAATAAAGCATTTGCATGAGTGTATGTTCTTCAGGAACACAACTACCGCATTACATGAGAACAGACTGTATATTGAACTTCTTTCGCACCGTACGCAGCCAACCGTGCCAATTGGAGGTGTGGGGGAAGGACAACAAGCTATACGCATAAAGCTGGGTTTTTTTTTATCGGCCCATCCTTGACTCGCATCCCCAGGCATCTCCACCTCCTTCTCTCTATGACAGTCAGTCAGTATATCTCAGGCGAGGCCCATTGAGCTAAGCTCTCTTTTAATGGCTCGCTCCATTGGGTCCTCTGGACCTCCAAAAGCACACCTCCCCCATGTCTGTTTATCATCATGCCGTGCGTCACACTGTACCAGGGGTCGGCAACCTGCAGCTCCAAAGTCGCATGCGGCTCTTTAAGGACTGCTGTTTCGTGACGTTATTTATGAACGGCCACTGTCTCGTACTCACATTGCATTGCGGCTCTTGATATACTGAGCTTTTTTTTACCAAATTAAAAAAAATGCTCTGCTTGTTATTTTGGTTGCCGACCCCTGAACTATGCCAAGCAACCTCCAGTGGCTTTGTTTAGTTTAGTTGTGTTATTTATTAATACTATAGGCATCTAATGGATACAACCTCCGACTAAATGAATTAACATTATTGGGGTTTGCAATTCTATTCAATCATCTATTAATTCGTTTTTTGCTTCTTGTCCCGTTGGAGTTGTTTTGTTTTTTCCTGTCTAGTTTGTATCATTGTGTTTGTACTATTATCAAATGATCTGCGATCATCTTAAATGATTTATTTTTGAATAATCAATTCTCACACGTGTGATTTGATGCATGTATCAAGAACCTAGGAAATTATTTTCATCCTTGCATTGAATGCTGGATGATAAACAACTTATATATTTATATCCAAAGTAGTTAGTCCGGACATTTAGTTCTTGGGTGGTGGATTGCATCAATGCTTCTGTTGAATTTTTCGGAGTTTTCAGCATTTCGCTGTTGGTTGATGGTCGGTGTTTCCGCAACCTTAACAACGAAGGTTAAAGAGTGGCCACGTTATGCAGTGTTTGTAAATTATGGCGGCACCTGCACGACGGTGGAGGCGTTGGTGTAGGTGTCTCCAGCTCCACTCTCTCTGCTCAGCTCCTCGCTGGGCAACACTTCCGGCTCTGGGGAAAACTCGTCGAAACGCAAGTGACTGCGGCTCTGAGCAGCACTCTCCCCCACTGCCCCTCGGCCCCGACTCCCCCTCCAGCCTCTCCCTCGCCCGCGGAGAGGCTCATCGTTGGGCGCCCCAGATGTCCCATCTTCATACCGGCTCGGGTACGGAGTGCCAGGAAACGGTCCATGACTCCTGCATTCGAAAGAATACAGTCTAGTTAAGTCCAGTTAAGTACGCGTTTCAAAGTGAATACAGTCCAGTTAAGTACGCGTTTCAAAGTGTACGCATGCTCCAACTACTGGAAATCTGTCGACCTACTGCACATCTGAGAAAAAGAGCGTTCTAACTCATCGGATTCCTCCAGTATAAATAAATAGTCTGATTCTGAAACAAGTATTAACATGGCACTCTCTCTCACTAGGTAGCCAGTGGTGGAAAGTCAAAATTCCCAAGGCGAGAGCCACTCTCCGAATCACAATGATGCCTTTTCATAAGGTGATCCATATTTTACTGACGCAGAGGGGCGTACAAGAGCTAAACTAATTCCCGACCAGCAAGTGACCTCGCAGCCGTGTGAATGCGAGCCGAGCGTTGAGTCAGTGCCACCTGCCTGGATATTAAACACCTACACGTACCACACTCGAGGCTACGCTGGTGTCTCTGCAAACAGTTATGCAGAAAAACATATTGACTTAAAACTTTCGTGACTGCAGGAGTTCAAAATAATAATAATTATTATTTTTCTATCTCTGTGACTTTACTGAAAGAACCAAATAATAGAAAAACACTTAAAAAGCCACAAAATGCACACTAAGAGTAAGCAATACTAGCCTTATTCTAGCGACTCATAACACGTACATTGTCTTTGCTTTCTATTTGCTTCTGTGGGTTGCTTTGTACAGCATCTAGAAAGTCCCTTCGTATTTAGAGGTTATATGTTAATATTAGGATGTTTTTGTTTTAAGTAAAAAGCCACGGCACCTTCCAATTCCACGGTTCCCTGCTCCATTCCACTTCCTCTGACCCCTTCCGAGTCCAGACGTGGCTCCCTGGGCATCATCCTCTACTTCATAGGGTGAATTTCCGCCCTGCGTGTTCTTCCTCTCTCTCCTCCCCGACACATTCACGGGCGTCGGCCCCACTGCGGGTTCAGCTTCCTTTCCACTCGACGAATCGTCACTGCTGCTGCTGTCCGATTCGGCCGAGCCGTCCCCCTTCGAGGGCTTCTCTGCAATGCTGCTCTTGGCGACGGCCGAAGGAGCTGCTGCAGATTTTGCTGCCGAATGTGGGCGAACCGCATTGTCGGCACGACTGTTTCGTTCATTTCCCTTGTCATTGTCATCACTGTCGGAGCTGGAGTCAGTTTCTTCCACTGGTTTCCCGGGCTCCCGTTGTTGAGGGGGAATCTGCACAGTTGCATGCGTCCCACCGTCGTTGACCTTTCGTTTCGCTTTGCCTTGTCTTGCACGTCCAGCATCTACCGTTTTATTTTTTGCGGCTTTAGATCCACTGCCTGATTTATCACTTTGGACACCATCGTCGCCATCATCACCTGAGCTCAAAGACAAGCTGGTGTCCGACTTGTGCTTGCTCACTCTTACTGCAACCTTGGATTTTGTGCGTGCTGCAGATTTTGAGGAAGTCCGTTTTCTTTCCTTTGTAAACAAAGCAGAACCGTTTTGTTGGGAATCAAATGCTTTCCTTTTCTCCTTTTGATCATTTGCCTGCACTCTGGTTTCAGATTTCCGGGAAACTTTATTTTTCCGGCGAACCTTCGTCATTGAATTCTCGTGCTCAGAACCATCTTCATGCTCATCCTTCTCACTGCTGGAACTCACAGCTTTCCCGTGGCCTTTCTTCAATTTATCCAATTTCGCTTTGACTTTACTTGTCTCGAATGCCTTTCTGGCATTGACTGTATCATCATCATCATTAACTTCTTCAGCTTTCTTCTTCTTTCTCTTTTTTGCTGGTGTGATTGAAGTCACGTGGTTTTCTTGTGGGTCCCCTTGGTCCGTGGGAAACTCCGTTTCCTGTTTCTTTCTCTGTTTACGCTTCCTGACATTGTTGTGGACAGAGCCGCTTCCATCGCTGTCACCTTCACCGTGGCAGCTCTTCCTTTTCTTGCAAGATGGCAGCGATTGGCTCTCACCACTAGATGGGCACAAGTCCAGAAGTTCGGTCTGCCGCACACTTGAAAAAACACAACACACACGAACTCAGAAACGAGGATAAGCAGCCCACCAATAAAACAGTGGCAACAGAATACTACATATGAGGTGGTGCCGGTATTGGGATGTTTAATCTCCTTTATGCAAGCCACCCACTTTTATTGAGCACATCAAATTTGATTAATTCTGTGGTCAAAATAATAGATTTTCTACTTTTGAGTGCAAATAAAAGTGTACATTGAAAAGCTTGTTAATTACCTAATTATTTTGTTTGAACATCTCCACGTCTGCTTTATTGCCAGAAGGGCTAAAGCCTATTCTTATTTCTCCCCCCCCCTTCATCAATTTTGATACTGGCAAAAAGGTCCCATGCATACATAGACGCATGCAAACCACTACTCCAGTGTTTATCATTGCAAGGGGCCCGCAGACCAAATGTGTTAAGCAGCCTCCCCTTGCAGGCGGTGTGTGTGTTTGGCGGAACCCCTCTCACACCGATGATGTCTTATCGGCCAAAGTGTCCCGCAACGCTCGACAAATGAGTTGAACGCCACCGCGGCTACTCACTGGACCGTGTCTCCGTCGCGCACGAGACCCACGTGCTCGGCGGGCGGCAGCAGGCAGCCCTGCACGAACAGCGACAGCCCCACGCGCCCGCCGAGCCCGAAGCGCTGGCGGATGAGGCACGCGAGGTCGGCCACCACGCGGCAGCGTCCCGGCTCCAGCGCCAGCCAGCACAGCCTCTCGCCCGCGGCCTCGGGCGGCGCGTACTCAAAGGAAATCTTGAGGCGGATCGGCGGCCGAGGGAACGTCCCGACGAGAGCTGGGTCCAGCGGGCAGTCCCACGACATCACGGTGCCCTGCTGGTGACGATCACGCTGATGATGATGATGCTGCTGCTGCGGGGAGCGGTAGTGCAGTGGTTAAGTGCGCAAGCGCTACGAACTCAGATACCCGAGTTCGATTCCGGCTCACGGCCAACGCCAGTGACGACTATCTGAAGCGGTTCTGGGCCTCCCCTAGGTCGACTCCGTCTCAAATGAGTACCTGGTGCGATGTGCAAACATCACCCCACCCCCCCTTCGTGCACTGTTCCGTCCTTCGTAGGTGCTCGCGAGCAACACTTGCCCCCTACAGTCTGTTAAGGTTCTACGAGGTATCTTCCGTCGTTTTGGTGGCGATACAACTGCTGCTGATTTGGCTCCTCTAGGCTACCGCAGGGGTCAGTAAACCACAATAAGATCCGGGGGTTTATTTTCGTCGAATACGGTAACAAAAAAACAACGCAGTATTGTCAAGAGCCGCGATGCACTGCGGTGGTGGCCCTTAATAAATAAGAGTCGCGAAGCAGTCCGTAGGCCCCCGGGAACGAAGCTGCCTCATGCGCTGTCAGGTCACTGTCACGAACGATGCACGGGGAAGATCGTCGATCGATATCGATCCACTCGCAGGATCGCGTGTACGCATCGATTAGTTCCGATTCGGATTCACGCGATGCAATGGGATGTCGCGAGCCGCAGTCTTCACGGATCTTAGAAGACTCGAACCATGACCTCGAAACGACTGCCGATTCTGGTGTTAATGTGACAGCTCCGGCTGTAACATCATTATCATCTCGCTGATGCTATTGCTGCTGTGACTGCTATGATACAGCAGCTCCTGATTACTTCTGCTGCTGACCCCGCTGTCTCTGTGTTGTAGTCGCTGTCTCTGTGTTGTAGTCTCTGTCTCTGTGCTGTAGTCTCTGTCTCTGTGCTGTAGTCTCTGTCTGTGATGTAGTCTCTGTGCTGTAGTCGCTGTCTCTGTGCTGTAGTCTCTGTGATGTAGCCTCTGTGTTGTAGTCTCTGTGCTGTAGTCGCTGTCTCTGTGTTGTAGTCTCTGTGCTGTAGTCTCTGTGATGTAGTCTCTGTGCTGTAGTCTCTGTGCTGTAGTCTCTGTGATATAGTCTTTGTCTCTGTGCTGTAGTCTCTGTGCTGTAGTCTCTGTGATGTAGTCTTTGTCTCTGTGATGTAGTCTTTGTCTCTGTGATGTAGTCTTTGTCTCTGTGCTGTAGTCTCTGTGCTGTAGTCTCTGTGCTGTAGTCTCTGTGTTGTAGTCTCTGTCTCTGTGATGTAGTCTCTGTCTCTGTGATGTAGTCTCTGTCTGTGATGTAGTCTCTGTCTCTGTGTTGTAGTCTCTGTGTTGTAGTCTCTGTGCTGTAGTCTCTGTGCTGTAGTCTCTGTGATGTAGTCTCTGTCTCTGTGTTGTAGTCTCTGTGTTGCAGTCTCTGTGCTGTAGTCTCTGTGTTGTAGTCTCTGTGCTGTAGTCTCTGTGCTGTAGTCTCTGTGATGTAGTCTCTGTGCTGTAGTCGCTGTCTGTGTTGTAGTCTCTGTGCTGTAGTCTCTGTCTCTGTGTTGTAGTCTCTGTGCTGTAGTCTCTGTGATGTAGTATCTGTCTCTGTGCTGTAGTCTCTGTGCTGTAGTTTCTGTGCTGTAGTCTCTGTGATGTAGTCTCTGTCTCTGTGATGTAGTCTCTGTGTTGTAATCTCTGTGATGTAGTCTCTGTGATGTAGTCTCTGTGCTGTAGTCTCTGTGCTGTAGTCGCTGTGATGTAGTCTCTGTATCTGTGCTGTAGTCTCTGTGATGTAGTCTCTGTCTCTGTGCTGTAGTCTCTGTGCTGTAGTTTCTGTGCTGTAGTCTCTGTGATGTAGTCTCTGTGATGTAGTCTCTGTGTTGTAGTCTGTGATGAAGTCGCTGTCTCTGTGCTGTAGTCTCTGTGATGTAGTCTCTGTCTCTGTGATGTAGTCTCTGTCTCTGTGATGTAGTCTCTGTCTCTGTGATGTAGTCTCTGTGTTGTAGTCTCTGTGATGTAGTCTCTGTGTTGTAGTCGCTACCTCTATGATGTAGTCGCTACCTCGCCAGGCCCCAGCTCCACGTGGGCCTCGCAGCTTCCTGTCCGCGAGGCTGTTTCCGGTGAGAAATCCGCGGCAGTCAACCACAAAGGAAATCCGCAGAAGCTTCCCCAACTCTCCACTCTAAACGTTTTCTACCAAGGGCCCACTGAGCTATAGAGCTCTTTTTCAGAAGTGACCTGGCCACAAATGATAGCTCAACGCAGTGGCTCATCATCAAGTGGACATTTCTAGCAGCCAAACATTCAAAACGCGCGGTGACGTTGATTCTAAATGTGGAGGGTAAAAAACAGCGGACCCGGAGAAAAATCCACTCCACAAATACATAAGACGAGGTTTTACCATTTCTGGCAATAAAACAGGTATTTAAGATTTTGATTTAAAGCTTTCGTGACTGCAGGGATTCATATTCTTGGTTCTTTCGGTAAAGTCACCACGTAGAAGGGAAACAATAAAAGAATAAAAATATAAAACCATAAAATTCTCACGACGTTTCGACTGCAACACAAGCAATCATCATCAGGTGTGAAACCCACAGCAAGGAAATTCTAAAGAACGCTGTCTCTGGTGTGGACCAATCCGTTTCAAAGATTATGTTTTTTGTTTCCATGTTCACCACAAGTATTGTGGTCAATGCAGACACGATTCCTTGCAGAAGGTTTCAGATTAGTGTTATTAACATCTTAACGCAACTGTTTTATTGCCAGAAAGGGTAACACCTCCTCTTATGTATTGACACCCATAACTAGAGTGGGCATCGTCTGCGGGTCGGGATCGCACCCACCCACCGACAGACAAATCCTTTCTAGATCTGTCCTCCAGACAGTCTCGTCCCTTCACCTGATGAAGGCCGCTTGTGTTGTGGCCGAAACGTCGTGATTTTTGTTATTTTTTTTGTTTTACCTACGTGACTTTACCCCATAGAACCAAAGAGTATAGACAAATCCTTGTCGACCAGACGAGTCGCTTGAAATCTCTGCGGCCCCGCGCCAGCAGGGGGCGTGAGCGAGCACGTTGCAGGGCTGCGCCTTCAGCTCCCCCAGCAGCACCCAGGCCGGCACCACCACGGCCACAGCCGTGCCCCGCGGAGCCGTCGGGTTTTATGCGTCTCTCCGTAGACAACACCGAAGATAACAGCAACGATAGCAGCAGCAGCAGCAATGGAGGCGGCGGCACTGTTCGCGGAGTCCACGGAAGAGGAGTCGTTCTTCAAGGAGGGCGAAGGCAGCGCGGCCCGGGACGACGACGACGACGAGGAGGAGGCGGAGGAGGCGGCGGCGGGGGAGGCCGCCGCCGCCTCCTCCTCGCCGCGCTCCTTCACGCTCTATGCGGCGCGGGGATGCGGGTACGTGGGGGGGGTACATGGGGGGGTACATGGGGGGGTGGGGGGGGGTACGTGGGGGGGTGGGGGGGGGGGTACGTGGGGGGGTGGGGGTGGACCCCCCTCAAGGAACAGCGTCGCCGGTTAGAAACATTCAGGCTGGCCCTGCCTACGATCCATCATGGGTTTAACCAGCAGGTCGCATTGTGTGAGGAGCTCACAAATCCTTAGACAGATCTGTGACACCATTCCCATCGGTGAGCTCCTCCGGCAGGGCGAGGCTGCGTTGGCAGGGTCAGGTGGCTCGCATGCCCAGCCACCGCATGCCCAAGCAGCTTCTCTGTTTGGCCGGATAGAGGGGGGCTAAACGGCACGGGCTAGAGAAGAGATGGAGCTGATGTGATACAGGAGGCACGGGCTAGTGAAGAGATGGAGTGACGTGGTACAGGAGGCACGGGCTAGAGAAGAGATGGAGTGACGTGGTACAGGAGGCACGGGCTAGAGAAGAGATGGAGTGATGTGATACAGGAGGCACGGGGCTAGAGAAGAGATGGAGTGATGTGATACAGGAGGCACGTGGCTAGAGAAGAGATGGAGTGATGTGGTACAGGAGGCACGGGGCTAGAGAAGAGATGGAGTGATGTGGTACAGGAGGCACGGGGCGAGTGAAGAGATGGAGTGATGTGATACAGGAGGCACGGGCTAGAGAAGAGATGGAGTGACGTGGTACAGGAGGCACGTGGCTAGAGAAGAGATGGAGTGATGTGGTACAGGAGACACGGGGCTAGAGAAGAGATGGAGTGATGTGGTACAGGAGGCACGGGGCTAGAGAAGAGATGGAGTGATGTGGTACAGGAGGCAGGGGCTAGAGAAGAGATGGAGTGATGTGGTACAGGAGGCACGGGGCGAGTGAAGAGATGGAGTGATGTGATACAGGAGGCACGGGCTAGAGAAGAGATGGAGTGACGTGGTACAGGAGGCACGTGGCTAGAGAAGAGATGGAGTGATGTGGTACAGGAGACACGGGGCTAGAGAAGAGATGGAGTGATGTGGTACAGGAGGCACGGGGCTAGAGAAGAGATGGAGTGATGTGGTACAGGAGGCAGGGGCTAGAGAAGAGATGGAGTCATGTGGTACAGGAGGCACGGGGCTAGAGAAGAGATGGAGTGATGTGGTACAGGAGGCACGGGCTAGAGAAGAGATGGAGTGATGTGGTACAGGAGGCACGGGCTAGTGAAGAGATGGAGTGACGTGGTACAGGAGGCACGGGGCTAGAGAAGAGATGGAGTGATGTGGTACAGGAGGCACGGGGCTAGAGAAGAGATGGAGTGATATGGTACAGGAGGCACGGGGCTAGAGAAGAGATGGAGTGATGTGGTACAGGAGGCACGGGATAGAGAAGAGATGGAGTGATGTGGTACAGGAGGCACGGGGCTAGAGAAGAGATGGAGTGATGTGGTACAGGAGGCACGGGATAGAGAAGAGATGGAGTGACGTCATACAGGAGGCACGCGGCTAGAGAAGAGATGGAGTGATGTGGTACAGGAGGCACGGGATAGAGAAGAGATGGAGTGATGTGGTACAGGAGGACGTGGAGCTGAGTGGACTTACCGATGACTGGTACCAGCGGTGTCAAGATCGGCCTCTGTTGAGGAGGCTCGTGAAGGACGCTACTGGGCTAGTGCCAGGCTAGGTGCACCTTGAGGCTACTGGGCAGTTGGAGGCAGTCGCCCTCCAGCAACAACGGAGGGCGGAGGAGCGACGCTCACAACAACGAGCGGAGCGCCGGGTGGATAAAGCACAGCAGGTTGGCACAGTAGGGGTCACAGGTGGTGTGCATCTATCGGTCATCTCGGTCATTCAACCCATGACACCTGTTGCGTCTGTCCCGACACCTGTCAGCGAGCTTTCGACACTTCACGTGGCCTTAAAGTGCACCTAGCCTGGCACAGGCGCCTTGGTGACGCCACCGTCACGTAGTGGCGAGTGGTATTGGTGGGGGGGGGGGGTACCAGGGAGAGACGGGAGACCAGACGGAGCCTGGGAGGGAAGTTCAGGGAGACCACGGGGGTCGGAACGGGGACAGAGACGGGGGGAGGTCACAGGACCAAGGGGAGACGGGGGGGGGGCAGGAGGAGGGGGGGCAGGAGGAGAAGGGGGGGCTGGAGGAGGGGGGGGGCAGGAGGAGAAGGGGGGGCAGGAGGAGAAGGGGGGCAGGAGGAGAAGGGGGGGCAGGAGAAGGGGGCAGGAGGAGAAGGGGGGGCAGGAGGAGAAGGGGGGGCAGGAGAAGACGGGGGGGCAGGAGGAGGGGGGCAGGAGGAGAAGGGGGGCAGGAGGAGAAGGGGGGGCAGGAGGGGCAGGAGGAGAAGGGGGGGCAGGAGGAGAAGGGGGGGCAGGAGGAGAAGGGGGGTAGGAGGAGAAGGGGGGCAGGAGGGGGGGGGGCAGGAGGAGAAGGGGGGGCAGGAGGAGGAGGGGGGGCAGGAGGAGGAGGGGGGCAGGAGGAGAAGGGGGGGCAGGAGGAGGAGGGGGGGCAGGAGGAGGAGGGGGGGCAGGAGGAGGAGGGGGGGCAGGAGGAGAAGGGGGGGCAGGAGGAGAGGGGCGGGGCAGGAGGAGAAGGGGGCAGGAGGAGAGGGGGGGGGCAGCGAGAGAGAAGTACCGAGAAGTCAGAGAGGAGACCGCAGGGGATGTGAAGGGGCAGTGGGAGAGTCTGGAAAGTCCACGGCGACCCAGAGGGGGACAGGGGGCAAAGGATCGGCACACGATCCGGGAGCCAGGGAGGCGAGAGGGAGAGTGTAGCCCCTCGCCTGGGGCCTCCACACGGGACCGAGGGTTCAGTCGGAATGAAGCCTTCGGTGTTGCCTGAATCCTTTGCCCGTGCTGGGCTGCGGGGTCCCGGCCCGGCTCTGCGTTCACGAGACCGGCGCTCGGTTGTGATGAAGACGACGCAGCACTGAAGTTTGAACTTCCCCCGGGTTCACACTGACGCCGATTGCTGTGCGGGGGTGACCTTGCGAACACCCGCGTGGATCCGTCACGTCGTCCCAAGTTCTCGTTTCCTTCCCACGTCCCATTGATTATTATGATAATAATAAGTTATCATTCGGCTGGCTTATGGGGAAATGCATAGCAGCCAAATGCTCAAAATCGCATGTTCCTAAACGTGGAGGGGAACACCGGACGACCCGGAGAGAAACCCACGTGACCACAGAGAGAGAGAGACACGCAAACTCCAAATATACAGCAGCAGCAGGTGTCAGGGTAGGGGTCGGAACCACGACCTCCTGTACACCAGGCGAGGTAGTTAACATCATAGCCACCGTGATGATGATGAGAGAGAGAGACACGCAAACTCCAAATATACAGCAGCAGCAGGTGTCAGGGTAGGGATCGGACCCACGACCTCCTGTATACCGGGCGAGGTAGTTAACATCTCCGAGCCACCGTGATGATGGTGAGAGAAAAAGAGACATGCAAACTCCAAGTATACAGCAGGCATTGTCAGGGTCGGGATCGAACCCAGGACCTCCTGTATACCGGGTGAGGTAGTTAACATCTCCGAGCCACCGTGATGATGGTGAGAGAAAGAGAGACATGCAAACTCCAATTATACAGCAGGCATTGTCAGGGTCGGGATCGAACCCAGGACCTCCTGTATACCAGGCGAGGTAGTTAACATCTCATAGCCACTGTGATGATGAGAGAAAGAGAGACACAAACTCCAAAATTTGAAAAAAGGCCACTTTTTTCCTATTTTCTTGCTGTGGTTTTCACACCTGATGATGATTGCTTGTGTTGCAGTCGAAACGTCGTGAGAATTTTATTGTTTTATTATTTTATTGTTTCTCTTCTACGTGACTTTACCGAAAGAACCAAGAATATGTGTCAATGATGTTATAATTGTAATGGCACCGCGGGGACGATATGTTAACTACCTCGCCTGGTATGCAGGAGGGGTTGGTTCAAACCCTGACGCCTCTACAGTATATTTGGACTTTGCATGTCTCTTCCCGTGGACGCGTGGATGTTTCAACCGGTTCTTCCAGTGTGTTTCCCTCCACATTTATAAATATGCGTTTAGAGTATTTGGCTGATGTAAATTTCCACATGGTAAACCACTGCGTTGAGCTATTATATGTGGCCAGGTTGCTTCTGACAAAGAGCTACACAGCTCAGTGAGCCTTACCGGTTAAAATAAAAAAATAGTTTTATATAGTATGCTCAGTGTGTGTGTGTTTGTGGTGTCTCCCTGTATCTAACAGGGCGAAGTCACGACAAGCCTCAATTACGGACACACTGCAGCAGCAGGAGGCTTCTAACCAAGACTTACGGTGAGAATGTTTTCGTAGTTGCCTCTTCTAAGAGTTTCCTTCAGTATGCAGTCATTAAACTTGATTTGGAGCTTTCGTGACTGCAGGAATTACTTTCTCCCTGCCCCCCTCTCTCTCTATTTAAGGCCTCGACACAGAGGCGTTGTTTCTCTGTGTGCCTGTATGTGTGTCTCTCTCTGTGTGTCTCCCTCTGCTTATGTGTCTCCCTCTGCTTTTGTGTCTCCGTGTCTGTCTTTTGTCTCTCTCAAATTTAGCAATCTTTGGAAGAACGTAATCACCCAGGTGGGGTGTTGACTGTTATGTCAGCCAACTCTCTGTGTTGTATTGCATTATATTTTTGAGTTTACTAGGTGTGTTTTTTCTCATTCATTCGTACCTGATGATGATTGCTTGTATTGCAATCGAAACGTGTTCTATTATTTAATCTATTTTCTTTCTACGTGACTTTACCGAAAGAACCATAAAGTATACAGTCATTGATGGCGGTAGAAATGGTAGTAGTTACATTGGAGAAACCAAACGACATGTTTCGGACCGCATTCGAGAACACAAAGCAGACCTAAAACACGGTAGGACCAACACCTCGGCCATGGCAGATCACTGTTATAATTCAGTAGGCTCACATGACATTGACTTCTTCAAGACAGAGGTTATTTGCAAGCCATCTGGCTATCATGAGAGATTTGTTCATGAGGCTATCCACATATACAAACACAGACAATTTCAACCGAGAAGATGGATTCTGGCTTAGCAATCATTGGAAGGATTTGATAAACCATTTCAGGTCTTAATTGATTGTTCACGCTTACGGTGGCTTTCAGACCGCATCCATTATTTTCGTCTCCCCCCTCCTCTTTTCTGACCATAGATGGACTCGTCCATCTGAATAACTGCCAAATCGCTCTCCGTGGTGCTAATGTTAAAAATAACAGCCACTTTTTTTCAAATTTTCTTGCTGTGGTTTTCACACCCGATGATGATTGCTTGTGTTGCAGTCGAAACGTCGTGAGAATTTTATTGTTTTATATTTTTATTATTTTATTGTTTCCCTTCTACGTGACTTTACCGAAAGAACCAAGAATATGAATCCCTGCAGTCACGAAAGCTTTAAATCAAAAAAGTAATTGATTTATTAAGCTCTCTATTAATTTCATTAATCTCTAAATGTTATTGAAATACATTGCATCTGCTTCAGCTTGTATGTGCAGTAACATAGCACTGACTGTTGTACAGCAGCCGCAACTACAGGTGAGCACTTAGCGCACACCCCGCTGAGCATATACGCGGGTATGCCGGCAGGGTGGAGGAACTGGGGCAAGGGTCATGGTAGACCTTATGGGGAAGCCCCTGGAACCCTCTGGAGGGTTCCAGAAGGGAGGCGCGGCTAGGGCGGAGCCAAGCTGGGCCGAAGGGAATAAAAGCGGCGGAGAGCGAGAGCTCCGGGCTGCCGGTTCTGGGATTGGACTCGTCGCTGTCATCGTCGCCGCCCTCTTCGCTGCTGCCTTTGCCCGATCATTGCGCGGCCGGACAGTGGTTGGCTGTCCCGGTCGACGCCGTCAGTGCAACGCGGACAGGGTCGTGTCTGGGACGGGTCGTGCGGCAGCGGGGTCGTGTGTGGGACGGGTCGTGCGGCAGCGGGGTCGTGTCTGGGACGGGTCGTGCGGCAGCGTGGTCGTGTCTGGGACAGGTCGTGCGGCAGCGTGGTCGTGAGAGAGAGGGGGGGAACCGAGTGGTGGCGTCAACTCAACGACAATAAAAGGGGAGGACGGTGCCTCCTCCGACTACCTCGTCTCCGACTGAGTGTGTGTGCGATGCACGCCACCCGCACGCACACACAAGCCTCGAGCGTCGAGAAGAGAGAACGAGCAGAAGAGACACACCGACACTGCATATGTATGTGGAACTTCTTCCGCACCGTACGTAGCCAACCGTGCTAATCGGAGGCTTGTGTCTTGCAGGGATGACAGTTAACATTTTTAAGCGATGGTTATGATGGAGCAGTGATGGCGGTAGAGATGATTATGACTCGCAGGCCATCTTATTACTCCAAGATGTATAATAGGATAACCTAGTCTGAGAGAGGCATATACTTCCTTTATTGTTTGTGAGTAGTTGTGGACAGGTTGACAGTGGTTGTGAGTGGTTGTGGACAGGTTGACAGTGGTTGTGAGTGGTTGTGGACAGGTTGACAGTGGTTGTGAGTAGTTGTGGACAGGTTGACAGTGGCTGTGAGTAGTTGTGGACAGGTTGGCAGTGGCTGTGAGTGGTTGTGGACAGGTTGACAGTGGTTGTGAGTAGTTGTGGACAGGTTGACAGTGGCTGTGAGTAGTTGTGGACAGGTTGACAGTGGCTGTGAGTAGTTGTGTTGTGACCGTGTTTGTGGACAGGTTGACAGTGGTTGTGAGTAGTTGTGGACAGGTTGACAGTGGTTGTGAGTGGTTGTGGACAGGTTGACAGTGGTTGTGAGTGGTTGTGGACAGGTTGACAGTGGTTGTGAGTGGTTGTGGACAGGGTGACAGTGGTTGTGGACAGGTTGACAGTGGCTGTGAGTGGCTGTGGACAGGTTGACAGTGGCTGTCAGTAGTTGTGGACAGGTTGACAGTGGCTGTGAGTGGTTGTGGACAGGTTGACAGTGGTTGTGGACAGGTTGACAGTGGTTGTGAGTGGTTGTGGACAGGTTGACAGTGGTTGTGAGTGGTTGTGGACAGGTTGACAGTGGTTGTGAGTGGTTGTGGACAGGTTGACAGTGGTTGTGAGTGGTTGTGGACAGGTTGACAGTGGCTGTGAGTGGTTGTGGACAGGTTGACAGTGGTTGTGAGTTGTTGTCTTGTGACCGCGGTTGTGGACAGGTTGACAGTGGCTGTGAGTGGTTGTGGACAGGTTGACAGTGGCTGTGAGTGGTTGTGGACAGGTTGACAGTGGTTGTGAGTGGTTGTGGACAGGTTGACAGTAGTTATGGGCAGGATGAAGGTGGTTGTGAGTGGTTGTGGACAGGTTGACAGTGGCTGTGAGTGGTTGTGGACAGGTTGACAGTGGCTGTGAGTGGTTGTGGACAGGTTGACAGTGGTTGTGAGTAGTTGTGTTGTGACCGTGGTTGTGGACAGGCTGACTGAAGGTGGTTATGAGTGGTTGTGCTGTGATCGTGGTTGTGGACAGGCTGACTGAAGGTGGTTGTGAGTGATTGTGCTGTGATCGTGGTTGTGGACAGGCTGACTGAAGGTGATTGTGAGTGGTTGTGCTGTGATCGTGGTTGTGGACAGGCTGACTGAAGGTGGTTGTGAGTGGTTGTGCTGTGACCGTGGTTGTGGATAGGCTGACGGTGGTTATGAGTGGTTGTGCTGTGACTGTGGTTGTGGACAGGCTGACTGACGGTGGTTATGAGTGGTTGTGCTGTGACCGTGGTTGTGGACAGGCTGACTGAAGGTAGTTGTGAGTGGTTGTGCTGTGACCGTGGTTGTGGGCAGGTTAACGGTGGTTGTGAGTGGTTGTACTGTGACCGTGGTTGTGGACAGGCTGACTGAAGGTGGTTGTGGACAGGATGACTAACGGTGGTTGTAAGTGGTTGTGCTGTGACCTTTGTTGTGGATAGGCTGACAGTGGCTGTGAGTGGTTGTGGACAGGTTGACAGTGGTTGTGGACAGGTTGACAGTGGTTGTGAGTAGTTGTGGACAGGTTGACAGTGGTTGTGAGTGGTTGTGGACAGGTTGACATTGGTTGTGAGTGGTTGTGGACAGGTTGACAGTGGCTGTGAGTGGCTGTGGACAGGTTGACAGTGGCTGTCAGTAGTTGTGGGCAGGTTGACAGTGGTTGTGAGTGGTTGTGGACAGGTTGACAGTGGTTGTGAGTGGTTGTGGACAGGTTGACAGTGGTTGTGAGTGGTTGTGGACAGGTTGACAGTGGTTGTGAGTGGTTGTGGACAGGTTGACAGTGGTTGTGAGTGGTTGTGGCCAGGTTGACAGTGGTTGTGAGTAGTTGTGGACAGGTTGACAGTGGTTGTGTTGTGACCGCGGTTGTGGACAGGTTGACAGTGGCTGTGAGTGGTTGTGGACAGGTTGACAGTGGCTGTGAGTGGTTGTGGACAGGTTGACAGTGGTTGTGAGTGGTTGTGGACAGGTTGACAGTAGTTATGGGCAGGATGAAGGTGGTTGTGAGTGGTTGTGGACAGGTTGACAGTGGCTGTGAGTGGTTGTGGACAGGTTGACAGTGGCTGTGAGTGGTTGTGGACAGGTTGACAGTGGCTGTGAGTGGTTGTGGACAGGTTGACAGTGGCTGTGAGTGGTTGTGGACAGGTTGACAGTGGTTGTGAGTTGTTGTCTTGTGACCGCGGTTGTGGACAGGTTGACAGTGGCTGTGAGTGGTTGTGGACAGGTTGACAGTGGCTGTGAGTGGTTGTGGACAGGTTGACAGTGGTTGTGAGTGGTTGTGGACAGGTTGACAGTAGTTATGGGCAGGATGAAGGTGGTTGTGAGTGGTTGTGGACAGGTTGACAGTGGCTGTGAGTGGTTGTGGACAGGTTGACAGTGGCTGTGAGTGGTTGTGGACAGGTTGACAGTGGTTGTGAGTAGTTGTGTTGTGACCGTGGTTGTGGACAGGCTGACTGAAGGTGGTTATGAGTGGTTGTGCTGTGATCGTGGTTGTGGACAGGCTGACTGAAGGTGGTTGTGAGTGATTGTGCTGTGATCGTGGTTGTGGACAGGCTGACTGAAGGTGATTGTGAGTATGTTGTGCTGTGATCGTGGTTGTGGACAGGCTGACTGAAGGTGGTTGTGAGTGGTTGTGCTGTGACCGTGGTTGTGGATAGGCTGACGGTGGTTATGAGTGGTTGTGCTGTGACTGTGGTTGTGGACAGGCTGACTGACGGTGGTTATGAGTGGTTGTGCTGTGACCGTGGTTGTGGACAGGCTGACTGAAGGTAGTTGTGAGTGGTTGTGCTGTGACCGTGGTTGTGGGCAGGTTAACGGTGGTTGTGAGTGGTTGTACTGTGACCGTGGTTGTGGACAGGCTGACTGAAGGTGGTTGTGGACAGGATGACTAACGGTGGTTGTAAGTGGTTGTGCTGTGACCTTTGTTGTGGATAGGCTGACAGTGGCTGTGAGTGGTTGTGGACAGGTTGACAGTGGTTGTGGACAGGTTGACAGTGGTTGTGAGTAGTTGTGGACAGGTTGACAGTGGTTGTGAGTGGTTGTGGACAGGTTGACATTGGTTGTGAGTGGTTGTGGACAGGTTGACAGTGGCTGTGAGTGGCTGTGGACAGGTTGACAGTGGCTGTCAGTAGTTGTGGACAGGTTGACAGTGGTTGTGAGTGGTTGTGGACAGGTTGACAGTGGTTGTGAGTGGTTGTGGACAGGTTGACAGTGGTTGTGAGTGGTTGTGGACAGGTTGACAGTGGTTGTGAGTGGTTGTGGACAGGTTGACAGTGGTTGTGAGTGGTTGTGGCCAGGTTGACAGTGGTTGTGAGTAGTTGTGGACAGGTTGACAGTGGTTGTGTTGTGACCGCGGTTGTGGACAGGTTGACAGTGGCTGTGAGTGGTTGTGGACAGGTTGACAGTGGCTGTGAGTGGTTGTGGACAGGTTGACAGTGGTTGTGAGTGGTTGTGGACAGGTTGACAGTAGTTATGGGCAGGATGAAGGTGGTTGTGAGTGGTTGTGGACAGGTTGACAGTGGCTGTGAGTGGTTGTGGACAGGTTGACAGTGGCTGTGAGTGGTTGTGGACAGGTTGACAGTGGCTGTGAGTGGTTGTGGACAGGTTGACAGTGGCTGTGAGTGGTTGTGGACAGGTTGACAGTGGTTGTGAGTAGTTGTGTTGTGACCGTGGCTGTGGGACAGGCTGACGGTGGTCGCGAGCGACCTGGCGGCTGAGCGTGAGGCAGAGCTCCGCAGCTTCATCGCCAGGCGCCTGGAGAAGGGCGCTCTCTATGGCAGCATCGGCAGCGTCGCCACTCTCAACCTCGCGTACGGCCAGCCGCAGCCACACGCACAGATCTAAACCTTAAACAGGAATATTCAATCCAAAACACAACACACCTATTATATTATAATTTTCCATTTTACCCGGTAAGACCCACTGAGCTATTTAGCTCTTTTTCAGAAGTGACCTGGCCACAAATGACAGCTCAACGAAGTGGCTTATCATCACGTGGACATTTATGATTCTAAATGTGTAGGGAAAAACCGGAGGGCCACTGGGAGAACATGCAGACTCCAAATATACAGGTGACAGGGTCTGTATCGAACCCACGACCTCCTGCATACCAGGCGAGGAAGTTAACATCTCAACACAGTGGTGCCCTTATTAACTCCCATGCTACGTGTCGCGGGGTGCCCAACACACATTTGAGCTGCTGTTAAATGAGGAAAGCGACTGCAAATGCAACAACCAAACAGGCTCACATTCCACTGCCACTGTTTGTAAGCGAATACAAAACCAAACGTGAAGCATACACAGACATATGCTGAAGGAACAATTACATCTTGGAAATGGGATTATTCGAGTCGTGTGTGTGACCCTGTTGCCTGTGCAGGTCAGCCGACGACAGCACGGCCTGCTACTACTGCCTGCTGCAGCAACCATTACCGGTGGTGGCGGAGAGTGTGGAGAGTGTGGAGAGTGTGGAGAGTGTGGAGAGTGCGGAGAGTGCAGAGAGTGTGGAGCCCGGGGAGCCCGTGGAGGATGGAGGAAGCGGCAGGGAGGAGGGCTCCAATGGAGCCACGGCTGCTGATTACGTCATTTGTTTTTTGGGTCTGACAGAGCAGGGCCTCGAGTTATATCCTCCGCTAGAATGTGTACTTTGTTAAGTGGCGGCAGAGTGTTTCGGGGATCACAGACGCCGAGCGGACACGTTGAGAATCCTGGGTTCAAATCTTGGTTGAAGAATATTGGTTTAAGATGCCACTGATTAAAACGGGTTCTGAAATGAGAATCATGTCTGCATTAACCACAATACTTGTGGTCAGAATGCAAACAAAAAACATACTCTGATAATATATGCATTGTCTTTGAAACTGATTGGTCTACACCAGAGACAGCTTTCTTTTGAGATAAATCTCAAAACGGTGTTAGACCAGAGGACGCCAAAAAGCGTACAGCACAAAGACAATGCACTATCAGAGATATGCGAGCTCGGGCCAAGCAGCTACATCATGGGACCTCCTTTGCCAGTACCAAAATATGAGAATAGGTTTTCCCCTTTTTTATAGCAACAAATAGGTGTTAAGATGTTACAACACCAAACTGAAACGTTTTGCAAGGAATCATGTCTGCATTAACCACTTGTGGTCAGAATGCAAAAAATGTAGGGACTTGATGGTCTCAGCTCAGTGGCAATGACTGCACACACAAAAAAAAGTCATAACTTTTCCACTCTGGCTAAATGTTAGAATTTAGCTAAATTCCATCTCTGATAATTAAAAGTGTAACTTTTTGCTTTGGATTGCAAATAAACATCTCCATAGCACGAAATATGGCAAAGTGCAGCACCACTCGTGTGGACAAGAGATCACTTTAAGGGATCTCAAGTCCTTTTGCTATATCCACTTCAAACGGCCGTTCCCTGACATTCCATGATTCTGAAAACCAAATTTATATAACACTGGGGTGCGGTGGGGTGGGAGTGAAACAAAGATAAACAAAAAAGTTCTACGTTTCAAATCTCTACTTATCCCGTTCGCTTTAGGAATCCCGTCCACAAACAACCCTGGTAAATGACACCACAGAAGCACTTTTGAAGTTATCATGGCTTGACAACAAGCCAAGTTGGCTGTGTGAGCACCACGGTGGCGAGGAGATGTTATCTCCCTCACCTGGTGCGCAGAAGGTCATGGGTTCCCGACCCCGACACTTGTGTATTTGGATTTTGCGTGTTCTCCTTGTGGTCGCGTGAATTCTTCTCCGGGTCCTCCGGTTTTGCCCTCCACATTTAGAAACAACGTCGCGCGTTTCGAGTATTTTGCTGCTTTAAATTTCCACGTGATAAGCCACTTCATTAAGATATTTGTGGCCAGGTTGCTTCTGAAAAAGAGCTACATAGCTCAGTGGGCTTTATCTGGTAAAATTAAAAATAGTTTAGGATAAACCCCAGACCGATGTTATAGGACCTTAACACTCCCTTACGTTCAGGCCAGAGCTTGACAAGTACGCGGCTGGATTGCTGGCGTACCTGGATGCCGAGGTAGGTGCTACAAGTCACAAACTCCACTTGTGTGTAGTTCACCTATGTAGAACAGCATCCATTGACGACTAATGACGCCTCTGTTATACCCACACAACCTCGGCGTGTAAGCATGCACACTCTTTGCAAGTTGATGGATTGTCACGATTCTGGATCACGTCTCAGGAATCCATTAGTCCTTTAACACTGTGGTAATGTATGTTGAACTTCTTTTGCGCCATGCATAGCCAACCGTGCTCATCGGAGGTGTAGCTCTTCCAGTGTCGGTAGGGTTCATGTGAACTAATTCGACATCATTCAATCTATGAATTGTCACATGCATGTATGTATGTTGAACTTCTTTCACGCCGTACGTAAACAACTGTGCTGATTGGTAATTTCTACCCTCTCCTTCCCAACCAATCGTCCCCTCTCAACGTGTCCCCCACTCCTGCGTAGCGAGAGTGTCGAGGTGCAGTCGCATTGAGATGCTTGACACGCACGGAGATTGTTTTCTCTGTAGGTGGGCACGGAAGGCTGGCGCGGAGCAGCATACCTGGGCGGCTGGCTTGAGGACGCGGTTCTCTACATCCACCGCGTGCTGCGCACCCTCAACGGGCACATCGCCATGCTGCTACATGCCGTGCGTCTTGCGTACACACACCCCAGGCATTACCAATCATCGTCTCAACACATACGTTTAACGTACACACACATCCAGCGTCACCTATCGTTGCAACACATACACACCGTACGTCTTAACACACACCCCCAGTGTTTACTGATCATTATCTTAACACACGTACACACTGTGTTAGCGCACATGCACACCAAGTGTTACCGATAATCATCTCAACACACGTATACAATACGCACACCTTACCAGCCTAAAAATAGATCACACGCAGGCAGCCATAATCTCACACTGGCTCTGACCCAGTGGTAGAAATTCCACGTTACTCTGGCAGGGGACACCACAGTTGATTATAAAAATCCAAGACATTGATTTACTCACGACTGCTTCAATGAGTCTCAAGACTTTTTAACAGGGTTCTGCTTGGATGTTTGGACTGTGTCATTTTGTTTATATTTTACGTACGCATTTGGGGCAATGCCTTTCGAATCGATGACGCCTAAAAGCACAGGACGTTTGTCAGAAACGTGTGCAGTTGCACTAATGTACAGTGCGGGAAAAAAGTATTTGATCCCCTGCTGATTTTGTACGTTTGCCCACTGACAAAGAAATGAACAGTCTATAATTTTAATGGTAGGTTTATTTGAACAATGAGAGAGAATAACAACAACAAAATCCAGAAACACGCATGTGAAAAATGTTATAAATTGATTTGCATTTTAATGAGGGAAATAAGTATTTGACCCCCTCTCAATCAGAAAGATTTCTGGCTCCCAGGTGTCTTTTATACAGGTAACGAGCTGAGATTAGGAGCACACTCTTAAAGGGAGTGCTCCTAGTCTCAGCTTGTTACCTGTATAAAAGGCACCTGTCCACAGAAGCAATCAGTCAATCAGATTCCAAACTCTCCACCATGGCCAAGACCAAAGAGCTCTCCAAGGATGTCAGGGACAAGATTGTAGACCTACACAAGGCTGGAATGGGCTACAAGACCATTGCCAAGCAGCTTGGTGAGAAGGTGACAACAGTTGGTGCGATTATTCGCAAATGGAAGAAACACAAAAGAACTGTCAATCTCCCTCGGCCTGGGGCTCCATGCAAGATCTCACCTTGTGGAGTTGCAATGATCATGAGAACGGTGAGGAATCAGCCCAGAACTACACGGGAGGATCTTGTCAACAATCTCAAGGCAGCTGGGACCATAGTCACCAAGAAAACAATTGGTAACACACTACGCCATGAAGGACTGAAATCCTGCAGCGCCCGCAAGGTCCCCCTGCTCAAGAAAGCACATATACATGCCCGTCTGAAGTTTGCCAATGAACATCTGAATGATTCAGAGGACAACTGGGTGAAAGTGTTGTGGTCAGATGAGACCAAAATGGAGCTCTTTGGCATCAACTCAACTCGCCGTGTTTGGAGGAGGAGGAATGCTGCCTATGACCCCAAGAACACCATCCCCACCGTCAAACATGGAGGTGGAAAGATTATGGTTTGGGGGTGTTTTTCTGCTAAGGGGACAGGACAACTTCACCGCATCAAAGGGACGATGGACGGGGCCATGTACCGTCAAATCTTGGGTGAGAACCTCCTTCCCTCAGCCAGGGCATTGAAAATGGGTCGTGGATGGGTATTCCATCATGACAATGACCCAAAACACACGGCCAAGGCAACAAAGGAGTGGCTCAAGAAGAAGCACGTTAAGATCCTGGAGTGGCCTAGCCAGTCTCCAGACCTTAATCCCATAGAAAATCTGTGGAGGGAGCTGAAGGTTCGAGTTTCCAAACGTCAGCCTCGAAACCTGAATGACTTAGAGAAGATCTGCAAAGAGGAGTGGGACAAAATCCCTCCTGAGATGTGTGCAAACCTGGTGGCCAACTACAAGAAACGTCTGACTTCTGTGATTGCCAACAAGGGTTTTGCCACCAAGTACTAAGTCATGTTTTGCAGAGGGGTCAAATACTCACCTTCTCACCAAGCTGCTTGTCAATGGTCTTGTAGCCCATTCCAGCCTTGTGTAGGTCTACAATCTTGTCCCTGACATCCTTGGAGAGCTCTTTGGTCTTGGCCATGGTGGAGAGTTTGGAACCTGATTGATTGATTGCTTCTGTGGACAGGTGTCTTTTATACAGGTAACAAGTTGAGATTAGGAGCACTCCCTTTAAGAGTGTGCTCCTAATCTCAGCTCGTTACCTGTATAAAAGACACCTGGGAGCCAGAAATCATTCTGATTGAGAGGGTGTCAAATACTTATTTCCCTCATTAAAATGCAAATCAATTTACAATTTTTTTTACATGCATTCTTCTGGATTTTCTTGTTGTTATTCTCTCTCACTGTTCAAATAAACCTACCATTAAAATTATAGACTGATCATTTATTTGTCAGTGGGCAAACGTACAAAATCAGCAGGGTATCAAATACTTCTTTCCCTCACTGTACCTCTCTGTGTTTGTCGTGAAAAGACAAAACTCCAATTGTTATTCTTCACACCTTTTACGATTCCACATCTATTTCTGCCCAAATCTCTATGCATTTGCAGAGGTTGTCGTGTTTATTTCCTCTTTAATCATTCACTCATTGCTGATTACTATGTTCAATTTAATATACAATGGCACAATTCCTTCAAGATCATTTCCAAGTTGCACAAGCTATTTAGGACAACATTTTATATAATTGGAGAGAAAATGAAAATCAGTCATCCATCACTCTATGACAGTCTACGAAATATTGAACGCTGAACAATTTGTAAACTAATATCAGTTGGTATGTTTTTAAGATGCTGGACAAAACAGCACAAGAAATGTGTAAAAATAGATTTGTTTTGAGCAAATAGAATGAATTAGATGGAGACCTCACTCGATGTCAAACAGAAAGGTCTCCCAACGGCTTGCGTATTGATTGTGTTCGTTGCTTCTGAATGTTTATTTGTAATACTCGGTGCCTCCGTCCGCTGGCGTCTGTTCCACAGGCTCTGAGTCACGCACCAGTGGACGTAGTCGGAGCCAATGAAAAACTCAGCCAAGACATATCCAGGTGGGCACTGTCGATGCAGATGTGACCATTCAATTTTCATCAAACGTTCAAAAGTTCTGCTGGCTCCTCACCCTCACACGGGTGGCGCTTATCATCCGTGATGGGCCTGAGGCAGTGGTGGAAATTCCACATTGCCGTGGCAGAAGCCGGTTTATGCATGGAATAGCCATAATTGACGAAAAGGCGGTGATGGGCCGAGTTGACCCCGAGCCGGGCTTAAAACACAAATAATTATTACATACTTGTCAACCCATACGGTTTACCCCATATTCTTGTACAGCGAAATAGATTTTTCAGGTCCATACGGCGTATAGCTGTTTCAATACAGGCAAAAAATAATTATTCTTTTTTGTGTTTCTCCCTTGTGATGGAATTTGTAGGATGAATGTTGAGATTTTTAAGTTCACGGGGTGACCAATAAGGTCTGAATTGGTCTGTAATAAAGTAGGCACTGATAAGGGGTTGACAGGTATGTTATGCTGGTTACTTTAATTAAATATTTTATAGCAAATGTGAATTCACTCCATATCGGCTACGGCAGTTGCTTAACCATACTTCACCACGCTGGTCAGCGCGGGTTGGGGACTGCTCAGGACTGGTTCAGATGCCACTCTAAAACTAAACTAAACTTTTTTATTTTACCAGGTAAAGCCTACTGAGCTATGTAGCTCTTTTTCAGAAGCGACCTGGCCACAAATGATAGCTCAATGAAGGGGCTTATCATGTGGAAATTTATAGCAGCTAAGTTCTCTAAGCGCAGACTTATGAATGTGGAGGGAAAAATCAGAGGACCTGGACACAAATCCACGGAACCACGGAGAGAACATGCAAACTCCAATTATACAGCAGGCGTCAGGGTCAGAATTGAACCCACGACCTGCATACCAGGCAAGGTAGTTAACTCCCGCCACCATGCCGCCGATGTTAGCCCTGGCCAGAAATCAAACTCGGGGTCGCCAGGTGTCGCAGCATGCTAAACCACGGCACCACCGCTGCACCACGGATCCTTCGTTACGGAGGAAATCGAGGGAGACTCCCTCTCTTTTTCCGTCGGCTCTCCGCCAGGTTTGTGCAGACAAGCCGGCTCGAAGGGCTGATGCCGGGGTCCCCTTCTGCGTGGCCCCAGTCGGCGGGCAACAGCACGGTGACGGTCGACTGCAGCAGCGACTCCCCGAGCGTGAGGAACGGCAGTGAGTGCGCTCCCCCCACCTCACCACCACCCCCCGTCTCTTCCGCCCTGGCTGATTCAACAATTCCCAAAACCGACTTTGCCGAGACTCGTGCAGACTGAACATTGTGTGGGGGGCTGGAATCTCGGCTGGAGATGCCTGCCAAGAGGTCTCACCTTATATATTTTGCTATTTAAAACTATTGAACTTTTACCAGGTAAGGCCCACTGAGCTGTATAGCTCTTTTTCACAAGCGACCTGCCCATCACAAATGATAGCCCAATGAAGTGACTTATATTGAAATTTAAAGCAACCAAATACTCTGAACGCATGTTGATTCTAAATGCGGAGGGAAAACCGGATGGACCCGGAGAAAAATCCACATGACCATGGGGAGATAGAAATACAAACTCCAAATATACAGGCGTCAGGGTCGGGACCGAACCCACGACCTCCTGTATACCTGGCAAAGTAGTTAACATCTCGGCACCCGGGTGCCCTACATTGTGGCAGCAGGTGGCAAGGGAAGAGAATGCTGTTCTGGTAGATTATTTGGGTGTCAACATCAATTTCATTGTTTGTTCGGTCAGTGAATTGTGTTGTGAATTCTGCCGCTCCGGTCCCATGTATCTTTTGCCCCACACTGCGAAGCCAGCAATAGGTTCTGCGACACGTGGGCAGACGCCCTGACGCGGGCAGCGGAGACCGGCAGCGCCTTTGTCCTGCGCCAGATCCTGGAGAACTTCAAACTCAAGGTGCGTGACCACGGATGCGGCGGCGACGCGTGGGGATCGCGCCTGCGTAGCGTTTCGCTCGCAGCGCACTCGCGTTCACACTTTGTATCTGCGGCGGCCTGCGAGCTGGAATTACAGCCACATTGGCAAATGTGATTTGTAAATTTAATTCTTGGGAATTGATGATGCAATTTTTTATTTTAACATTCATATTTATTTATTAAAGGGGCACCACGGTGGTGTGATGTTATCTTCCTACCCTGGCTATGTAGGAGGTCGGGGGTTCGATCCCGACCCTGCCTCCTTTATATTTGTAGTTTGCATGTTCTCCCTGTGGTCGTGTGGATTTTCCTCCGGGTCCTCCGGTTTTCCCTCCACATTTAGAAACATGCATTGAGATGATTTAGATTTTGGTGCTATAAATGTCAAAATGATGGGCCACTTTATTGAGCTATCGTTTGTGGCTAGGTCGCTTCTGAAAAATAAGTTAATACCTCAGTGGGCTTTGCCTGGTAGAATGGGGATGATTTCATTTTATTTTTATGTGTTTGGTTGATTTGTTTAGCTTTCTTATAACTTGCACCACTATCATGTTTTTGTATTATTTTTTCTAACGTTCTGACCCACCCCTACTGGACATCTTCCAGTATTAATACATATTCTGATTCTGACAGCCGTTAGCAAAGAAAGATTTCTAGGTATGTAGAGGGTATGTGTGGGGCCGCTAAGGTGAGGGGATTACCTGTAGACCGCTGTGTTCAGTCGTGTGGATTATGGCGGTTGGTACCACGTCAACAGTGAGCTAACACAGAGGAGGCATTGTAATTAGTGAAGTTCTTCAAGTGATCGTAATTTTACACAGGGAAGCCGCACTGAGTCGGGACTTTATAAAAAAAAATTGCCCTGGATTTTAGCTGAAAATCGACTTGAGCAGATAAAACCTATACAATCTGTCATACATAATCTGTATACAACCTCGCTGCTGTACTACCTCCTTCAGGCACCTGACACACGTGTCACACCAATGGTCTCTCTACAATCCATCAACCCTCACCTGCACGTCACTCGATGCCTGGACGTGCTTTGTTCCGGGACACATATTAACGATTTTTTTTATCCTTTCGTTCATTCATCCATGACTGCTGGCTCCGCTGACCTGATCAGGCCATCCAGGACATGAACAGCTTCCAGCGGCTGCTGAATCAGGCGGAGAGCGACCACTACGCGCTCTACCGCTGCCTGCAGTTTGTGCGCGCGTGCGGGAACGGCGGGGTGCTACTGTCCTGTCCCGCGCTGGGGCCGGGCCTCGTGCCGGCGTCACGGCCCGCGGCGCTCAGCGTGCTGTGCGTGCTCGCCGAGTTCACGCGCGAGAATGGGGAGACCCTGTGAGACCCTGTGAGACCCTGTGAGACCCTGTGAGACCCTGTGAGACCCTGTGAGACCCCGTGAGACCCCGTGAGACCCCGGCGATACCCCGTGAGACCCCGGCGGGCCCTCGGAGAGACCCCATGAGACCCCAGCGATACCCCCGTGGGAACCCCGTGAGACCCCGTGGAGACCCCGTGAGACTCCGTGAGACCCCGTGGAGACCCCGTGGAGACCCCGTGAGACCCCGTGAGACCCCGTGAGACCCTCGTGAAGACCTTTGTGAGACCCCGACGAGGAGGACAACGACCAAACTGGAACAGAAGCAGACTGCACTCCGTATCCCACGTCAAGCGCATCCCGAGCTCTGCCCATCTCCACACACGTTCAGCGTTTAATTCGGATGGTTCTTTTTAATTACCACCGTTATAATGTTCGGCGCAAGCGCAGGACGTCAAATGTTGTGGCTAAAACTTAATTTAATTAGCCGTTATCAAATGCTCCTCTCAATTCACCAGACTGATTAAAGCAGTCGGGTATCGACATGGCCCATGCCATTTCTGCCCACAAATGATAGCTCGGCAAAGTGGCTCATGTGGAAATTTATAGCAGCCAAATACTCTATAGATGCACATTAAACAAAATAAATAATTTCGTTGTTTACATTCTTATATGGCCACAAAGTATGGCTCAACGAAGTGGCTTATTGCGTGGACATTTAAAGCAGCAGGCAAATACTCGAAGTGGCTTATCATGATGTGGAAAATTAGAGCAGCCAAATACTCTTAAACGTGCATTGATTCTAAATGTGGAGGGTAAAACTGGGGAAAGAGACACGCAAACTCCAAATATACAGGTGTCAGGGTTGGGATTGACCCCACGAACTCCTGTAAACCTGACAAGGTGTTAAAAATCTCACCACCGCTGTGCCCCAAGGATTGGAGGTCACCACACTGGGCTGCGCTTGGCCCATTGGGCGGGGTCCCGGCACTACGTTCGAGACACGGAGGCATTGGGGAGTTTGCGACGGGCGCACCAGTGCCTTGTAGACACTGCTACACTCACTACATTTCGGTCCAGCTTGTGGCAGATTCACCATGTCCGGTGTTGTCATTTAATTGAATGCAAGTGAGACACTGCTGCCGAGTTAACCCTTGAACTATTATTTATAAAATAATAAATAAAATAACCTTATCGGTACGTCTTCAGGTCGGAAGATGTACCGAGGCTCCCACAAGGCGATGTGGGGGAGGGCGTGCGGCAGAGTTTGGCGCCAGCTATCATAGAGTGCGGTGTCGCTGCGGTTCTCTGCGGTGAGGACAATGTATTTAAAAACAACGTCGCTCTTAATAAAATTAACGCTCAGCCGCTCGCGCGTTCTGAGATTCAGCAGCGGTGAACGGGACACCCACCCTGCAACTTTACAGACATCTCGGGAACGGGATAGGGGTAACCCGCTTTGAAAGTTACGTAACCACTAACACGGCATTCCGTTTGGACGGAGGCGAGATGGGGAAAGGCGGAGAGTAGTACCGAGGAGAAATTTAAGAAAGCATTGGCCAAGCATACGAAATGATTCCGTTTGGCACGTTTGATTTTTAAATGCTTATCGTTTGCTTTGGTTTTTTAAATTCCATTCTGTGGTGAAAAGTGTGGTTGGTTAACTGGGTGTATTGTGGTATACGTTGTCGAGTTCATTCCTTTGCACGAAAAGATGATGCTGATAAAATGTATGTTCACGCGACTCAACTGTTTGGGCAAAAAGTCAACACGCTGCTTTAATTTTCCAAGGGAGGGTTTTTGTTTATTAATTTAAAATCAAAACAGAAACATCTTCCTGGTGCACGTTTCCAAGACGACTGCCCAGAGCTTGTTGTGGGAATGTAACTAAACGTGATCACCGACCTTCAGAAATGTTCGCAACGGACACAAAGACGCTACACGGCACGGTTAAAATAATGACCCGCGTAAAATCGATATTACTAAATACAAATTGAAATGTTTGGTTAATTTATGTACTAGAGTGTACTTTGTTTTTCATTGTTTTAGACGACTGACTTTACCAGGATTTTATATTTCAAGGTAATCTCCACGCTGTTTTATTTGCTGTAATTGAGGTCAAAGTGCCGGCGCGAATGTCGCTGTAAATTGTTAATTAGCTCCCTGTCCACACAGCTGTAGCAATGGGTTTTGTTTGCCGATGTAATAATTGGTAGTCTTAACTACCATTCCGAATAAAGTAATTTATTCCGTGGAATAACAACAGCGCCTGCGTGCGTCTTTGTGGAGACCCCAGTTGGTGTGCTTGCGTCGGACTCTGCTCGCATTCAAACAAATCGTTTGGTGCTTTCGGGGTTGGCAGCGGTGCAAGATGCAGAAATAATCTCAAACACATTTGGCAATAACACGGCCTTAAAAGGAGACGTTTACGTTGAATAACTTTTTTCACTTGTTGCTGGGGGAGAAATTGAGTGATTAGAACCGCAGATAACCCCATAATGTTTAAAACAAAACAACTATCGGCAGTCAACGCTAAGTAACGACGGGGTTGTGGGTAATTGCAGACAAAGCTACAAGAGGTGTAAAGCTTCACAGAAGGCGGCGAACAGCGGTGCTTGGTCCGTGGCGGCTGGCAGAATTGCGAGCCTCTTGTCAAGCGAGGGCCGGGTAAGCGTCGGTCGGACGCAACCTCATCTCGCCGCAGGACAACTCGCGTCAAACGGGTGCAGTGAGTGAATGCGATTGTTCGTGTAAGAAGGGAATGCGAAAAAAAATACCCCGATTTAAGTCTTTCCCCTTTCACGTCATTCGGCAAATATGTCGTCACCTCATTAATACCGCCACCCGATTTTAGTTGTCAACCGCCAGCATCGGCCGTCCTTTCTCGTATCCACCGCGTCTCGGCCTTCCCCGAGACCACCGACCCTCTACACAAACTAACTTGCGCCGCGCGTAAAGAAGTGGACCCTGCTGGAGAGTTCACTATTATTTACGTGCGGTATTTTGATTGTTTAAATAGTGAACTCTTAGCTTATTGTACCCCGTATAATTTGTGTTAAGGTTGGCTATTGTACACGAGTGGGAGTACAGTATTTTAAGTAATTTGACGCTTGTATGTTGAACTTCTTTCGCACCGTACGTAGCCAACCGTGCTAATCAGAGGTGCGCTGTAACGTTGTGGGTACGTCCAGGATGAAGATGTGCACATTAACACGCAGCTTCACCGTTACCCCTCCGTTGTCTTTGTTTAGCTCTCGTGGATGAATTGCTTTGATTTGCATCATTTAAATATTCGTCGTCACACATTTCAGGAACGCGTCCCCGATGCAAACTTGGGTATCGCTGAGTTCGGAGATAGGACACCAAGGAGGGTCTGAGTTGGCTGGAGACGATGCCGAGCCCAAGTGAAGTCTCCAGGATGGAGCCCAAGGTCTAAAAGAGGTCGCAAGTTGGCACCGTGTGGGGAGCAAGCGACAGGGGAACGTAAAGCGGAGTAAGGCCTCGGATAAGCACCGTGCGGTGGCGAGATGTTAATGACCTCGCCTGTTAAGTGTGCAACCGTGTACAACTGATGAGGTGGTGGTGACATGAAAATTTGACTGAGGATGTCTCATTCTTGCGTTGGACACAAATTGCACTTCGGCGCATTCAGAAGAAAGCAGTTGTTCTGCACAATCCTGACCACACCTCTTACATAGATTGGCAACTCCTCCTCCGAGTTGGCTTCGCGTTCGCTTTTTTTAGTTGGGGTAGAGATGTGGTGACCTCTTACTTTTTTTAGGCGAGCCACCGCAACGACCCAAACATTGAACACCTTTGGCTATGGAGACAGCCCGAAAGGAAGCAACCAGAACTACCACTGCTTCCCGGGTACCTGCAGGGCTGGATCATGGTGCCGTGAGGCCCCTGGGCACGTGTCTTTTGGAGGCCCCCCCCCCGCTTTCCTATATTGGTGTCTTGCCTTCCTCCTCGCAAAATCATCCACTAGGATCGTCAAAATCTCGCTGTCTGACAAGGTCTGACTATTGACATTAGTGACAGAGCTGGGACGCGTTTAGCAGCATGCTACTCCGCAGCTCATTTTTATTCTGCCTAAATGTCTGCTCACCCTGGCAGTTTGTCACTGGCAAAGTTAGAAAAATCCGAAGTGCCACGAAAACATTGGGGAACACTGACTGCAAATTAAGTCCCCGCAACGTCTCAAGCAATTTAGTTGGGCACTTCTCACCCTCAGAGTCAGACATTAAATATTGAATTGGATGAGTTCGTTGCCATAGTTCATGTCCAGGTCTGATGGATATGCAGCGGAGAGTGCATTTACCTTTTGCACTATGACATCACTGTTAGACACCTGTTCTGACAAATGGAACTCCAAAGTGACTGGTCAAACGCTTGGAAGCGTCCAAGCGAATGTTCAAAGCATGCCACTAGTTTATCAATTGCCACAAAATGTTTCTATTTTGAACTTCTCCCTCCCCTCAAGTGTCACACCTGGCTCTGAGCTCTCATCTGCAAATGTTTTGCGTTTCCTCTTTCACTGAATATCGTGCTTATATGACTGAGAGCCACCTGTCACATTTAAGGCTGTCCTTTCAAAAGCCTCAAACTGGTCTCGCTGTCCAGCCACAAAATCCCTTAACAAAGACAAAATCTGTGCTGCTACAGAGATGTCAATGTCACTTTTCTGTAGGCGCATGCTTGTAGCGTGGAACCGGTCAAGTATTACATCCCAGAAATGTGCCATGAACACCATCTCTAAGGTGTCCAATTTAGCACAGTCCTGCAGCCTCAATTTGAGTATCTCTTTTCTCATTATCGCCTGGTTGACTGGATTTAAAGCTTTTCGCGACTGCAGGGATTCATCTTCTTGGTTCTTTCGGTAAAGTCACGTCGAAGGAAAATCATGAAAATAAAACATAATAGAATAAAATTATCACGACGTTTCGGCCACAACACAAGCAGCCGTCCTCAGGTGAAGAAACAGCTGTCGGAAAGACAGCGCTCCAATGAACACTGCTAAGCTTGGCAGCGTATTTTAAGCTGGGTGGGAGGAGCTGAGCGCCTTGACAAATGAGTTTACATATCAACAGAAGAATTTAGCATTGAAGTAGCTATATTAATGTGAGAGATTAGCAGGATGTTAAAGTCAGAAATTATCATGTAACTGGGAGATTAGCATGATGTTAATGTGAGGAATTAGCATGTACAGTGAGGGAAAAAAGCATTTGATTCCCTGCTGATTTTGTACGTTTGCCCACTGACAAAGAAATGATCAGTCTGTAATTTTAATGGTAGGTTTATTTGAACAGTGAGGGACAGAATAACAACAAAAAAATCCAGAAAAACGCATGTCAAAAATGTTATAAATTGATTTTAATTAGGGAAATAAGTATTTGACCCCTCTGCAAAACATGACTTAGTACTTGGTTGCAAAACCCTTGTTGGCAATCACAGAGGTCAGACGTTTCTTGTAGTTGGCCACCAGGTTTGCACACATCTCAGGAGGGATTTTGTCCCACTCCTCTGTGCAGATCTTCTCCAAGTCATTAAGGTTTCGAGGCTGACGTTTGGCAACTCGAACCTTCACCTCCGTCCACAGATTTTCTATGGGATTAAGGTCTGGAGACTGGCTAGGCCACTCTAGGACCTTAATGTGCTTCTTCTTGAGCCACTCCTTTGTTGCCTTGGCCGTGTGTTTTGAGTCATTGTCATGCTGGAATACCCATCCACGACCCATTTTCAATGCCCTGGCTGAGGGAAGGAGGTTCTCACCCAAGATTTGAAGGTACATGGCCCTGTCCATCGTCCCTTTGATGCGGTGAAGTTGTCCTGTCCCCTTAGCAGAAAAACACTCCCAAAGCATAATCTTTCCACCTCCATGTTTGACGGTGGGGATGGTGTTCTTGGGGTCATAGGCAGCATTCCTCCTCCAAACACGGCGAGTTGAGTTGATGCCAAAGAGCTCCATTTTGGTCTCATCTGACCACAACACTTTCACACAGTTGTCCTCTGAATCATTCAGATGTTCATTGGCAAACTTCAGACGGGCATGTATATGTGCTTTCTTGAGCAGGGGGACCTTGCGGGCGCTGCAGGATTTCAGTCCTTCACGGCGTAGTGTTACCAATTGTTTTCTTGGTGACTATGGTCCCAGCTGCCTTGAGATCGTTGACAAGATCCTCCCGTGTAGTTCTGGGCTGATTCCTCACCGTTCTCATGATCATTGCAACTCCACAAGGTGAGATCTTGCATGGAGCCCCAGGCCGAGGGAGATTGACAGTTCTTTTGTGTTTCTTCCATTTGTGAATAATCGCACCAACTGTTGTCACCTTCTCACCAAGCTGCTTGGCAATGGTCTTGTAGCCCATTCCAGCCTTGTGTAGGTCTACAATCTTGTCCCTGACATCCTTGGAGAGCTCTTTGGTCTTGGCCATGGTGGAGAGTTTGGAATCTGATTGATTGCTTCTGTGGACAGGTGTCTTTTACACAGGTAACAAGCTGAGATTAGGAGCACTCCCTTTAAGAATGTGCTCCTAATCTCAGCTCGTTACCTGTATTAAAGACACCTGGGAGCCAGAAATCTTTCTGATTGAGAGGGGGTAAAATACTTATTTCCCTCATTAAAATGCAAATCAATTTATAACATTTTTGACATGCGTTTTTCTGGATTTTTTCGTTGTTATTCTGTCTCTCACTGTTCAAATAAACCTACCATTAAAATTATAGACTGATCATTTCTTCGTCAGTGGGCAAACGTACAAAATCAGCAGGGGATCAAATACTTAATTTCCCTCACTGTTACTGGTCACAGAAGTAGCTATGTTAAAGTCAGAGTTTACATATCAACAGAGGCATTTAGTATATTGACGCTAAAGAACTGTAACTACCCAACTATCATACAATAAACCGATGTGAAAGAACTAAATATAAACTACGTAAATATAATCAATTTACTCAATATATTCTCCACTAAACTGAGCTACGAACAATAAGTCATTATACATTACACTTCTATGTCGCAAAAACTTGTTATGCCTTCAACTAATCTTTTTATTATAAACTGCCATACACACACCCCAACATGGAATAATACACTGCGTTGTTATACACTACCCTATACCTTAGATTATAATAGTATTTACGTACCCCATCAAGTTGCTGCGTAACATCTGCATCTATGGCACTGCCCTTTGTCCGCTGGTGCAAGGCAAGCACGCATGATCTGCGTTCTGCACTCTTTTCGTGTTCCCCTGTTCTTTCAGT